CCCATCGTATTATTGTGTAAATACATTTAATTTCTTATCTTTAATTCCTGCGTTTGTCATTTATTGGAGACCGAATTTCACCTCGGAATCCACAACAAATTGGCAACGAAGAGTCGAACCCACACGGAAAAGAAAAGATCAACAAAAGAAAAATCTTCCCTCTTCCCACTTAAAATTTTAAGCTAGCTGCAATTTTGGATACAAAAGGAAAATAAGAGTTACTCCCCTTGAACCATGAAAGCAACAATAATATAATAATATATATTTTTAACCTCACATAATCTGGCGACCCTGAATCTGAGCTCAACAAAAATCATTCCCTGCACCTAACTTTTTCAGGGCTTTTTGAATGAGCTATGAATCATTGAAATTAGACAGCTTATTTTTTATTATCTGTGAGTTGCTTGCATTCTTGCAAAAGATAGTAGAATGGTTTCCTGTCACCTTCTCCATGGCTTGAATTTCAGAGTTTTCCTTTTCTTAGACTAGTTTTCAACCAAGTCTAGAGAGTTCGGTCTACCCTGCTATTTAACCTAATTTCAAATTCACCCAAATAGCCAATTAAACTCAGTTACTTTCAGATTTCAAGTTGTATAAATAAATCAGAAGATATAATTTGAAAATTAATTTTATTGACAAATAATTATAATTAATTTATATCTGGTTATTTCTGAAAAGCCAGAAAAAAATTAATTTAATTTTAATTATATCCAATTTTGAATTACAAAATTCTTTACTTTTTCACAAAACCTTTCAAAACATTTACATAATATATGTAAGATTAAAGGAATTTTCATTTTTTTTTATTAATTAAAATTGTAAGTGTTTTGTCTGTAGTCCTGACAAGGTAAAGTTGTTATTATTCAGTCTATTCTTTGTTGATTCAAGCTGTGATTCAAATCTATCTCCTTGTATTTACCTTATGCTCAGTAATCATTTTCTTTTCTCATACCAGGTACAGTAGATTTTTATTTCTTGAGAATTTTTTGTATAGTTGTAGATGTACTCTTCAGATAATCTCTTATTGTTGCATGTACAGAGGAGTGGCAACATCTTTTCTTTTCTTTGTAATATGTTTTTACTTTTGCAGTATAATTTTTCTATTCTATCACATATTGTTTTATAAAGAAACAATACATTATAGAATTATCTCAAATTATATCAAATTTTTTATGTGCTATAATTTTCCTGCATTATTATGTGCTTTTGTTTTGTATATATATATATATATATATATATATACATACACACAAACAATTTTTGTCTACAGTAATTTTGGTAGCTTTTTTACAGTTTGTATAATGTAATTTCTGGTTTAATGTATTGTACTTTATATCTAATGTATATTTTGCCATACGTTTTATTCTATATTATTACCATCAGTTTTAAATTTTTTATTCTGTTTGATACTGAATCCCATATGCTACTACACTCCCTCTTTGCACTCCTTACTGTTTTATCTTTTGACAAAATCATGTTTCCACTTTTACAAGCTTATCTTTCACTGATGATTTTAACAATTCTAAGAATTCCTTCTTCCCTTCAAATATGACATACCATACAAGTTTAGAAATATATTAGAATAATCTATAATTTGCAAGTGCACAAAGATAGAAAGGGCTGTGTGTCAAGGATGTGCCTTCTCACTGGATTTATTTAACCTGTACAGTGAGGTGATCTGAAGAGAACTATAAATTTTAATAGTATTTATTATTGGTGGGCACAATCTTAATGATATAAAATAAGCAGATGATTCAGTGTTGATGGCAGATACAGAGAGAAAACTACAGAAAATGCTAGACAAGGTAGTAAAGAATAGTGAGAAGAATTATAAGACAGAGTGTATGATCATTAGCAAGAGGATTAGCCCAAGATGTCAAATCAGACAAGTACAGAAACTTATCTATGAACTGTTTGAACAGACGATGGAAAATGTAATAGAAATTCAAAGGTACATTAGAATAGCAAAATATGCCTTCTAAAAGCTAAACAAAGTATTGAGAAATAGAAGTTTTTTAGAAACAAAGAAAAAAGTACTGAATTACTATGCAATATCAATCCTATAAGACAGTGAATGCTGAACAATTTCTTCACAGATGAAGAGGAGATGTAAGGCAACAGATATGGTTCTACAGAAGAATTCTAAGAATAGTGTAGATATAGCATGAATGCAATAATGAGATTTTAAGAAAATGGGAATGAAAAAAACACTTATACTTAGATTCAGAAAGAGACAGTTGAAGTTTCTGGGACACTGGAAAGAGAACTTGAAGAATTTGATACTCTCAGGACATATTGAAGACAATATGAGTAAGAATGAAACAGTGAGTAATCTACCCAATGAGCTTGCATAAATGGATAGTAGAACCATGACTGGGAGGAATTGTAAAAAGACATTACTACAAAAGATAGGAAGTTGAGGAGAGATATGACTGTCCACATTTTGAAGGGATACAGTACATAAAAGAAGAATAATACCAGATGTTAATATAGATAAGAGTTTTTTGATGTTCCTTAAAACTAATCTTTCAGGGGATATCTAGTTTAACACTTAATTTTAAGATTACCTGATAAAATGAACACCTGAAGAAGATCCAAGATATAAAATACAATGATGAGACAACTAAATTTGGGATGTTAGACATTTTTTTATATTTATATTTTATATTACCAAATAATAAAATTGTAAAATCAAAAGTGTGTTAATGATTTTTAATTGAAAAGTTCTATTAATTTCTTTCAAAATGTAACTTTTAATATGCAAGATGAAGAGATTCTATATCTTATATCTTTGTAGACATCTTATAGTCTTTATTTTGGTAAAATAATCTTTAAGGACTATTTTACCTAAATCATTATATTACAAAGTCAAAATGAGGCCTCAAAATCAAAATATGTGTAACTTTTAGACATTTTAATGAATAAACATAAATATCTATCATTTCAGAATATCTTTCAGCATAAAAGATTTGTATGATTCATTTTGCCAAAGTGTTCATCATATAGAAACTGTTTTCCCTTTGTGTATGATAATTCTGTTTGTATTCTGAAGACAAATGTAACTAGAATTTTACTTATCAGTAAACATTTACATGAAAAAAAAATGAAAAAGGAAATCATGTTTCCACTTTTACAAGCTTATCTTTCACTGATGATTTTAACAATTCTAGGAATTCCTTCTTCCCTTCAAATATGACATACCATACAAGTTTGGAAATATATTAGAATAATTCAGAATTTGCAAGTGCACAAAGATAGAAAGGGCTGTGTGTCAAGGATGTGCCTTCCCACTTGGATTCATTTAACCTGTACAGTGAGATGATCTGAAGAGAACTATAAATTTTAATAGTATTTATTATTGGTGGGCACAATCTTAATGATATAAAATAAGCAGATGATTCTAATAAGAAATAAAATTCTAAAAAAATAATTCTAATAAAATATGTCATTGTAAAAATAATCATTGTATATGAGATAAAGATAAGCTTTCTTAAAGAATACACAATGCAATATACAATTATGGAAGACTAACAATATTATGATGAACAAAATAAAGAGAAAGATACATAGAATTATGTATAAATTTTTAGTAACTTATTTCTATCTGGTTTGGTATTTATATTTTATCCAAAAGCTCTAATCCATTGATGCCTTTTTTATTGTTGGTAAGTTTAAAAATTGTAAATTTTGTCACACTCTGTCCAAATATATTTGCATAATAAAAATATTGGCAACAATCTCACAACAAATGTGTTACTTGACATCAGTTGGGAATTGTTGCTCACATCAAAAGTTAACTTTTCACTGTTGTCTGCTATTTTCTACAACATTTGTAATTTTCTGAAGCTCTGTTATTGTTATAATTTAATGATTTATTCTGAATCAGTAGATTCTGAAAAATAGGCATTACAATCTTCCTTAAATATATGTGTAGTAATTTTTATTTTTTTACATGCACTACATTACACTGGCAGATGAATTTGTGTCATTTCTGTCAGATACTGAAAAAAAATATAAAACTAATTACTACTATACTCAGATATAGAGTTGTACCATCCAAAACAGTGATAAAGATACAACAATGGTAAAAATATTAGTTCAAATGATTCATTGAATATTGTTTGTAAGGATTTTTTTCTTAATAAATATTACTTCAAATTACATTTTCTTTCTTTTATAATTGTGCTTTGATAGCAAAGCAATTTTACTTGATCCATTTATAAATTGGATATTATTAAATTTAAAGTCAAAAGCTATGATAAAAATAGACATCACCCAAATATTTTATATACACAAAACCTTTTTAATCATTCCCCAAAAGCCACTAAAAGAAAAGGTTAAAAAAAAGTTAGAAAAAAAAAGCACAAATAACTACATGTTCAAAGAATATAACTCCAAATAGTTAATCAAGTGAATAAGAAAAATATCATATGATTTCTTGATATGGTCATTTAGATTATCTTATAAATTTATATATTCTAACTGTACAAGTGTTAATGACCAAATATAACATTTTTCTGTTCTTGAACATTGATAATGTTTATCTATAATTGTGCAATTACAGTATTTTTTTTTACTTTCTTTAACCAAAAACAAAAGCAAGTTGCAACCACTCAATTTTTATAAATGACCAATTGCAATTCAATGGAATTTTTAACCACATTATCAGTAAGATAGAAAAATCATGTATTCTGCTAAAAATAGAGAATATAAAAATTACAAAAGCATATTAATGACTATGCGTTTCAATGATTTCAACAGCCTATTTCATCTATCAATAAATACTTTAAAATAGGCAGTGAGTAATAAAGAATTTTGCTGTTATTCCTGTATCTAAAATCTTGCTACAGGTTAAGTTATCTACACAAGTAAAAAAAATTATGATTATTTAAATAATTTTTTTTCATTATTTTTGTAGATATTCTATTTACAGTCTTCTTTTTCAATATTAATATCATTTCATAGACAATTTTGAGCATTTTTTGTATCATTTTTCACAGCTAATGATAACCAGTTGGAACCTACTGGTATTCCTATGACCAATATATCAAGAAACAACAACGGTAAACACATACATACATTTTAGATATTAGTTCTACATTTGGGGTTTTACTAATGTTCTAACATTTTTAACACAGTCATTTCAGAGGTGATATTTTTATATTTCAAGAGACCATGCAGTTATTGCACCAATATTTTTATTTTTCAGTCTAAAAGTTATTCAGCTTAAATATTGAATTTCATTTGTGACCTCTAAATAAACCTTGCAATGCTATTTTCTCTTCACTTAAGTTTCACATGTAAACAAGCAACTCTTTCTACTGAGATAACTCCATATTTTTCCCAATAGTTGTTAACAGTTCAAAGTTCAAAGTTCAATAAATTCTACTTTTAGCTAATTGTAATGACTTTTAAAAGTGAATTTAAAAAAAAATAGTTTTATTAATAAAAATCATAGTTTATGGATTTTGAAGAAACATTTATAGAAATCTCAAAATCCTTTTCCTATGAAAAATAATAAAATGTCTGCTCACAAACTATTGAAACATCTTCATTTATGAATAATTTTTATTTTTTGCTTATAAACTGAAGTGCTAAAAAGGAAGACAGCCATGCAGAGAATGGTTTTGTGCCCACAACTTATACAAGAATGCAAACATGACTGACAAGATTGATAAACACCTAACAAAGGAAAACAGTGCATCAAATCACATCCTAATACGATGTTAGTACCCCTCAACACACTGTACAGTATACATAATTCCATGGGGTTTTGTAGTTATCAACCAATGAGGATACCATCACTGAAACCTTACTGCACCTCACTTGATCTAGAGAACATAATCATTGGATGTTGAAAAACTGGCACTATATCTCCTGATCAGTTGAATCCTATTTCCAACACTTTCAGGTAAATCATTCAGTTTGTACATCTTGTTAGGGGTGTTGCAGACCATTTGCACCTCTTTATGCATGTCATGTTTCCTGGTGGTGATAGTTTGTTCCAGCAAGATAGCACACTCCTCATCATATATGAGTAAGATGAAATTGTTTTCAGAAACCTTTGGCTGACTTTCATTGACCTCAGATTTAAACTAAAATATATTACAAATGCCACTAAATTCCATGTAGACACAGAAACCTAATTCAGTTCTGAACAAACTTGGAACATGTTCAAATAGATGTACCCATACTCAAACACCTCAGAAACTCCATACCATATCAAGAAGTATCATTATACAGGAAAAGAGAGAAGCTATATTTTATTAAGGGAGTTCTTTCTAATTTTGTTGAACTTGAGCTACTTATACCAGAAAAGTTTTGGATTTTGCAAAGATTCAAATGATTATTCTTGCTCTAGTTTAAAATTTCATATTCTTAATGGATCATTTTCTATTATTATTCTGGTTATTGAATTATTTTTTAGATAATTTGAATCAAATCCACAAATACACATTGTGTTTATTTTAGTTAAACTGAGTTATATCTCATTGAAAAAGATGCACTTATAATTAAAACTGAGGAAAAAATTCTAAACCTTTAAAATGTTTATTGTAAAACTATGTTCTACAAACCATTACCACTTATTCATATTAGTTTATGAGATTAGCATTTATTTTCAGATACTTATAAAACAGTTGCATCACTGATAAATACAAGGACAAGTATAATGTATTAAAATGCAGATTCACCATGGAACTTATTTTTTGTCCTTGTTAGTACTACAGTGCTAATCCATTCAACATTTCCTCAGGTGTCACTCCACCAGGCTATATTTACTTTTTTATTTTATTTATGTTTATTTAGTCTAATTGGTTTTTAAAACACTTTTTCATCAGAGTCAGTTGTTGATATTGACAACCATTTTAAGTGCTTTATATTTGACTGTTAATAGTATCCCAGTTTAATAGTTTGTGAAGTTTTTCTATGTAGCATGTTTTGTTTAAAAAAGCATTCTTATATAACATTACTGAAATTGTTACTATGCAATTCAAACAAAATATATTACATATTGTAAATAAAACTATACTAAACTATGCTAATAGCAGAAAAAACTAATTTTATAGTGGAATGTTTTCGAGATGAACTAGTGAATAGTCGTAATAAGAAAATATTATGTTGCTATGAGCTGAGGAAAAATGCAATGTCATATAATTAAACATTTTTCTGTTTTATATGGAGTTATCTCTCATTTCTCTTAATCTAAAGCATGTGTCAACTTGGCACTGTTTCTGTTTATCTATTTTTTTGCACACTTTCTCTTGATTAATCTCTCAGTTTGTTTCTATAACATAAAGAAATTAAAATATTTTATTCTTGCACATTCTCTTTAGGATAGTGACAGTCCATAAAATAAGAATGACAGTAAAAATTTTAAAATTCATAAATCTGTTCAGCCAACTGAACTCATTTTTGTTGCTTTTAATATTACATCATTTCAATCATTTCAACCAATTCAATCTATAAATGAAAAATTCTGGTAACAACTCTCAGTATGATAATGAATCATTACAAAATTACAAAAACTATATTCATAAATCTCTGTAAATAAAAAGCATCATTTTATTGAAGTGTCAGTGTTCTAGTATGTGATAGTGTTCTTAAGGATATTATCACATATGCATAATGTGTGATTGATCAAACACTGCAAAAGTTTTGCTGAGATAGTAAATACTATTTATTCAGAAACTATTAAATTTTAGAAAGTGGAATTATATCTACAGTTAATATGGATATCACATTGGTTCAGAAGTTTTCTATTTATCTGTTATTAAAATATATATTTTAATGCTATATGCAAAACCATCTTTTTCAGTTTATATAAAATATAATTTGCATATACTTGGGAGAATTTTAATTCCATAATAACATTTTCATCATTAACATATTAAAGTTATTTTAATTTTTTATTTTTCCATCATCAATATTTAAAGACAATGATTAGTCTTCACTTCTAACTTCTTTTAACAAAATATAATTTATATATTTATGTACAATATTTTAAATTTTTTTAAAGCTTTTACTTACAAAGTTGATTTGAGTTTTTATAGTTTTTAATATGAAGTGCAGCGATAAAATGATAGAAAATTTTAATATTTTTACTATAATGTGTTTATTACTAGCAATTTTGTATTGCAGAAAAACAAATTTATTAAAACAAAGTCTCTTTACTTTTAAATGAAAACTGATAAATCATTTATATTCCTAATGTCACTTTTAACTCTTGCTAATTTAGTTCCTTTTTATCTAATTTCTTTCAACTGCTTTATTAAATACTGTTATATTTATTATATGATCATTTATTCTTATTAACAAGTAAATGCTCATTTAAATGTTTCTTAAAATCTATATTTTAAATTTTCATTACTGAGATTTGATTTCTTTCAATCTTCATAGTACTCTTGATTTATTTTTGTATCTAAAATTGTTCTTTTTAATTCATACAGTTGTTCTACTACCAGGTGGGAATAAAATAAATGTCCATTTTAAATCATAAATTTTAAAACACTCATAACTTGGCTCAAAAATAACTTATTAGTTAAATTAATCACAATTAGAATCAATATAATATTGCCAATGTTGGAAACAGTGAATTAATTCCAGCATAATAAAAACTTAGGAGGCAAGAAATGACTAGAAAGCATTTTCAGTCTGGTCTGTATGGGTAGACATCTGCTGTCATGCATGTGTATCTTAGGCACTCAAAAAGTGGTAACAATGAAATCCTGGGCTAGGAGTTCAATGCCAAACTTTTTACCAAGGGTTAGTGAAGTATGAGGTCTTGCATTATCCTGAAGCAGTATAGAGCTCAGCTAACAACAATTTACAATTTTTTATTCATCAGTTCTAAATCCTAATAATCAAACTCTGTTTTGGAGTCTGGTTAGGTTGCAAGCATTATGGTCATAAGTAATTTTTTTTGTTGGGATAAAGGTTTTAGGAAGGTTGAGGTGGGAGGAACAAGTCTCCCTTTAAACAGAAACCACTTTTCATCAACAGTAAGCATATTATCAGAAGAAATTGCAGTAAGAGTCAAATCATTTAAGGTGCTGATTATTAAATCATCTGCTACCCACAACTGCATTTTTTTTCAGTTTACTGATTTCTACTAGATATCTTCCAACTATTATATCCAGCTTTTCTCCTAACACATGAGTGTTTGTTTCTAAATGTGCTTCCATCTCTTCACTACCTTCAATTCTTTATTGTTGATTGATGACATGTAATGATTAGGCTCATCTTGGAGATTCACATCACCAAAGGCAAATTTGTTGAACAACACATAGTCCATTCTGTTACACATTTTTGTTTGTTGAAAATATTTTATGAATTAATTAAAATTTGAAATTACAGTCTGTCATTAAAGTAATATAACATGGCATAATGCCACATAGTTGACTTGTAATTAAGATCATAAACATTTGATCATATTGTTAAAACAAATTTTGTTTATGGATGGCACTTTTCTTTAAATGTAGATAGCTTTCATTATTTTTAATATATTTGTTTTATATGAGCTATATAAAACTGTAGTATTGCCTGTATGTGACATAAATTATCAAGGGCATTATAGAAATGTTTGATGTAATGATAAATTGCACTGTTGAAAAAGATGGTAAGTATTAGGACCTTGAATATGTTCTCACTGTTTTCCAACAGCTGACATTCCCAGAACTGCGTGTGTATAGTTTCAGATGGTAATGCATCTATAAGGAAGTACTATAAGCAAGCTTGAAATTCAGTGTATGTCATTTTGCTGAAGTGTAAACAACTTTGTTTTTCATAGTGTTAAACATGTCAGATTTCATGCCAAAGAAAAATGTATTTGTGGGGAATTTTACTGCACTACTTTATTGAAAAGAAATCTGCAGCTGAAGCACACAGAATTCTTGTTGAGACTTACAGCCACCATGTTCTGTCAGAAACAACATGCAGAGATTGGTTTAGATGCTTCAAAAATAATGATTTTGGTGTCAAAGATAAAGAATGCTCTGGCACACGAAAAAAGTTTGAAGACTAAGAATTGGAGGCATTACTTTATGAAGACTCATGACAGGTACAAGCTGAACTTGCAGAATCATTAGGAGTTGATCACACAACAGTTTTGAAATGTTTGAAAGCATTAGGCAATGATTCAAAAGCAATGACATTGGGTGCCGTATGAGTTGAAGCTGAGAGACGTTGAATGGCGTCTTGTCACATGTGAACAGCTGCTTCAACAGCAGAAAAAGAAAAGTTTTTGCATTCTATCATGACTGGTGATGAAAAGTGAATACACTACAATAACTCTAAGCTTAGAAGATCATGGGGTAAGCCCAGGCATGCATCAACATCGGCGGCAAAGCTGAATAACCATGGTTCAAAGCTTCTGCTCTGCATTTGGTGGGATCAACAGCGTGTAGTTTATTATGAGCTGCTCAAACTAACTGAAACCATCATGGGAGATCACTATTGACTGCAATTAATGCATTTGAACCAAGCATTGAAGAAAAAATTCCACTATATGAGCAGAGACACAACAAAGTGATTTTGCAACATGACATTGCTAGGCCATATGTTGCAAAATGAGTGAAAACCTACTTGGAAATGCTTAAATGGGAAGTCCTACCCCACCTGTTGTATTTATCAGACATTGCTCCATCCGATTATCACTTGTTCTGATCGATGGTACATGGCCTGGCTGACCAGCACTTTTATTCTTATGAAGATGCAAAAAAATGGGTTGACTCATAGTTAGCCTCAAAAAACATGTCGTTTTTCCAACATGGAATTCAAATGCTGACAGAAAGGTGTGAAAAAGTAGTGGCTAGCAATGGACAATACTTTCAGTGACATGTTTCTTACTAATTTTTGTAAATAAAACATTTATTTTTTGAAAAATCAGTGAGAGCTTATTTAAGGTCCTAATAACTAAGTGAGAAAAAGATGTGGTAGTAAAACCTATGTAGATAGCCATGGGATTATGATCAGAGTCTCTTAACAGGTACTTAAATTATCATGATGTGAAAAAGAATGTTTTGCACTAATATAACAAAAATGTCATTGTTTTTTTTCCAACCTAATATATTTATCCTAATATTAAACCATAACATAGTTTCCAATGGCTTTATCAAACACAAAGATATTAGCTGAGGTTAATTTAAGGATTTGTTCCATCCAAATTCATCCAGAATCAGGAAAATTCAATGCATATGCAGAAAAGTGGAAAAAAGACAATTTGTAAACTTAACATAATAAATTCATCTCAACTTGGGAATAAATAACAGATTTAATATTTGCCTTTGATAGAAATTAACTTATAATTGAAGGCTAACTTATAAATTTATTTCATGTTTTATTTTGCAGATATCTGTGTATTTTAAAATAGAATGTATACAGAAACATATTACTATTTTTAACCATTATTGTAACCTCTTACAGATGAATTTGCCCAAGAGCTTCAAAATGCAACTGATGATGATGATTCAGATGAAGAACGGTATACAACAGTCAATATTAATAGCCATGTTATCAATCGTCCATGTGACATCATCAAAGAGGAAAATGAAGAGGTAGATACAGAAGTAAATGACAAGTCTAGTCTTACTCTGTCAGAGCTGAACAGTCCAATTTCACCTGACATCCTTTTGGACGAGGCAGTTGAGAGAGCTGGTGTCTTGAAAACATATTCTAATGACTTTGGACACGATATGTAAGCTTTTATCACTTCCATATTTATATTATTATTAAAAATTTCTATAAAAGTTATTATATCAAGGACTACATAGTATTTTTATTTTCAAGGCTAAATATTTGGTATCATAACTGTCTTGATATTATAAGATTTGTCTAGTTTTGTAGACATCAGTTAACAATATAATTTTCCTTGTCATACCAAATTTATACTTTTGCAGAAATCACTTAAATGATTTTACTCACTCATTTTTATTTTCCCAAATGCAGTTTTAAAACACATGAATAGAGGCAATAAGCTTTTTATGCCCAGTTGTTACAATCTAATTGACCTGTATTTTGAATGATTAATTCAAAAAAATCTTTTTCTGTTAATAAATCACATATTGAAAAAAATATCTAACATGTCAAAATTTGACAACTGTCCAAATTTACATGATTGTATAATTACACCAAAACAAGTCTTATCTTTAGTTTGTTTAGGAAAATTTATCCACTCCAAAAAGGAGTTATATGTTCTTTTTAAAAATAAATTTAGTTTTTTATTTGAAATATAAAATGAAAAAGTGTTTTTATTTTATGGAAATATTTTGTATTGAATATTAGATGAAATTATTATGTATATTACAATACATAATAAATATAAGATCCAACAGTGCAATATACTGGAAGACCTAAGTAGATCAATTTTCATAGTACTGCCTAAAAAGCTAGGTGTAAACAAATGGGAACTACATTGAACAATCAACCTAATGAGCCACATAACAAAATTTATCATCTGAATTTCGATGAATAGAGGGCACAGCAGAATTAGACCCAAAATAGGACAAAAATAGTGTGATTTCATTGAAGACATTGGAACAAGGAATGCAATATTTATGCAAAAAATAATATCAGAAAGAGCAATACAAAATGCAAAAGGATGTATGCTTTATAGATTATGCAGAAGTATTTGATAAAGTTAGTCACATGAACTATTTGAACTGCTAGGTAAGCTTGAATTATTTGGGAAAGGATATTAGAATAATTGAGAACTTATACTGGGAGAAAAATGCCTGTGCATATGGATAGAAAATAAATTCAGTAAATCCACAAAAATAGATAAAGATGCCTTCTCAGCAGAGTTATTCAAATTATAGAGTGAAGCAATCCTGATAGAATTAGAAGTCCTACCAGGATTCATTATTGGCAGCCACAATCTTAACAGGCAGTTAATTTGATAGGCAGTAAACACAATGCTGATATCAAACACAGAGAGAAACTGCACAAACTCCGACAGAATGTAGTAAAGGAAAGCAAGAAGAAAGGACTAAACATCAATTGTAAGAAGATAGAATGTATGGCTGTCAGCAAAAGGAACAGCCAAACATGTGAATTACAAATTGGAAATACTTAACTGAGGACAGAAAATGTGACATCAAAATCTGAAGGTGCATTGGGAGAGCAAAAGATACCTTCCAAAAGCTAAACAAACGAAACAAGAAAATTTTGTTAGAAACAAAGAAAAGTAATTATGTAATACTGGTCCTCCTATATTGCTGTGAATGCTCAACAGTCTAATCACAGATGAAGAAGAGACTTGAGATAACAAAAAAGTGGTTCTACAAAAGGATACTGAGAATACCATGGACTCAGAAAGCGTTGAAATTTCTTGGGTACATTATGAGGAAAGAGGGCTTAGAAAATTTAACACTCACATGACATGTTGAAGGGGGAGGAGCAGAGGAAAGCAGCACATAACCCTGCCTAACAAACTTGTGTAAATGGTTGGTAAGCACAGAGATTAGGAGAGATAGCAAAAAGACAAAATTTACAGGGAAATTGTGGAGAGCCATGATTCTCCATGTCCTGGAGGGACATAGCATATAGAAGAAGACTATAAAATATTTAATAGAGATAGCTATTTTTGACAACTTACCCATATTAAAAAAAATCTCTGATCACTCCTCCATGTACATAAAATATAACCTTGATGCTCTGAAATTATAATCACTATTGAAGTTGTTTGATCTGTTTTATCTGGAATAATCTCTCTTTCTCTCTTAATATATTTATGTATTGCTCTTGTAGTCATGCACCAGTTTTAGTTTTTATTTCTCTATCTCCCTTCTATTTCTACTAAGAAAAATCTTTGCTACAAATATATAACTTCTTTTAATTTTCAACTCTGGGTAAATAATAATGGCATATCTCCCTTTATGCTGCAGAAACAGTTGGTACATCTGGGCTTACAAAAAAATAATGGTACACCTTCCAGAACATCTTGTAGAAACTGCTTATGTTGCGGTTTGCTACTGCTTTATCATTCCACAAAACTATGCACCTCATCCCATTTTGTACAATATTTGTGGATTAAAGAAATAGGAAAATCCTTCATTCCTACCTCTTCCTCTGAAGACATTTCCTCCACAATTGCTGTTGCTTGTGTAAAAATTGTTCCAATTTTTCCATGTTGAGCTCATTTTTGAGGTCTTCTTGACATCTTCATTGTTAACTTCCAAGCCCATGTTTTTGCCTAGTGATACAATAGTAAAATCCTCAGTGGTAAAACCCTCAAAATCTCTGCCTACAACACAATACAGCTACAATTTCCTCTAAGCCAAATTCATGGTCCTGTAAGTCATTTGTCACCAGACTTTGTTAATGAGAGTTAAGCAACGGAGGATATTAAAATGATGCTTCCAGAATTCTCTGAGTGTTAATTCTGTGTCAGAGGTTACCTCAAAACACCTTTGTAACTAGTGCTTTGGTGTAGAGTTTCTTAGTTTGAAATGACCTGCTGATCCATGGGCTGGATTAGGGGAATTGTGCCATGAAGCAGGAATTTCAGAATGATGAAATCTAACTCATTTGACTAGCCTGGAGGGTGAGCAGGGGTATTATTCATCACAAGAAGGCACTTCAGTGGCAAATTGTTTTCTTGCAAGTATTTCTTTACACTTGGGGCAAAAACTTCATGGATCCACTAAAAGTAAAAATGTTTAGTTACCCAAGCCTTATAATTAGCCCTCCACATAATAGATAATTTACTTTTTATCACATTGTTTTTTCTGAATTCTCTGAATGGTACACAAGTAATGGCTTGACTTTGAGGGCCCCACTTGCATTTCCACATAACAAAAGAGTCTGTCCTTTGTTGGATTGTGTCCTGGTAATGATTTCTTCTCTTCAGAATGTCCTCCTTAGCATTTTTTCCAGAATTGACCGGTTTCATTACAGTTAAATGCTTGCTGGGGAAGAAAAACCTCAGCCTTTACATAGTCACTAAATTCTTTCACAAATTCCTCAGCAGCTTCTTTGTTCACACTTGCAGATTCTCCATACCTAACCACCCTATATATGCCACATCTTTTCTTAAATTTCTTAAACAACCCTCTGCTAGCTTTGAAGACACCAGTATCAACACTCTTACCAGGCTATTATTTTTACCAGGTCATCATGCAATTGCCTTGCTTTTCCCCAAATGATAACCCCAGAAACACTGTCACCCACTAACAGTTTCTTGTTTATCCAAATCAGCCACAATTTCTCCACTTCTTCAATCATCTGTGATCTTTGTTTAGTAAGAATTGTCACTCCAGTTAGTTTGATCGTCTTTTTATTTTTGAGAATTGTTGATTTTGCCATACCAAACTGAATAGCAAGATCAGAGACACAAACACCATTTTCATGTTTGGCTATGATTTCTTTCTTTAACTCTATTATGATTCTAGTCATTTTTCTTTTCACTTTGCTGCTACCATTATCCTTCTTTAACTCCATGTGCCTTATTTAATGATTTATAAAAAAAAAAAACACTAAACACAATGAAATTCAAGAGAAGGCATGGAAAATTTAAGTTGAGATGTGTGTGGAGCAAAAGCTACACTATAAGTGATGCTCTCCCACAGATACTCTCAACTTGATGCTGGATTGTGTGTTTATTGCTTGAGACACAATTCATTACTGAAACATTTTTGTTCAAAAAATTTTTTCAAAAAAAGAACAAAGATGAAAAAATTTCCAGAAGAAAAACTGTTTATTATAAAAAAGTGTAACATCTGAAATTAGAGAACAAAATTATAAACACAAATGCAAAAATATTATTGTATATTTCTTGTAATGGTATAGAGGAATGAAAAAATATCAAACACCAAATTTCTTAAATATTTTAGAATTATTTTTTGACTTTAATTTAGTGCCAATGAATTTTTATAGCTATTCTCATCATTGTTTTTTTTATTTCTTTACAGTGTTTTTATGAATTAATTTTCTTCTATTTTGCATATTGATCTCTTGGCACAGCCTATTGTAGAATACCTGAACAGGCTGTGTAGTTTATATTTTAATATTGGTTTCTGTGAAGTTGACTCAAAAGTTTGCATCATTTTTGACAAAATCGTTTTAAATTCTTATAATTCAACAAAAGGTTTTTATGGCTTTTTAGATCAATTGTGTATTGCCTCATAAAACAGCAATTTTAGTTTTGATTTGAAGAATTTTCCAATATTTTGAACTTATGAGAACCACTGATCAGACAAGTTGCATGAATTGAAAGTATTATTTTTGAAGATGACAGATGTGGAGAATATGACACATCTAGAAGAAAAAGTAATTTTCTAAAGGTGACAGATCTGGACAGTGACACATGCAAAAATCCATATACAAACTCCATAGCTGCTGCATCACATTTGTAACATGAAGATTGGTATTGTCATGCAGGAAAAATTACCAGTTGACATTTTACCCAAAGTTCTTTCCTCTTGTGTTATTTTATTCAATAAAGTCAGTTGCTCACCATAGCCTAGCACAGTAACAATTTATCCCAGTTCCAGATACTGTTTAGTTTGAAATGTTGATAGATCTAGCTCTGATTTTCTTTATTTGGGATTATAATCAATTTGTTTTTCATCATCAGTGACTTTCTGTGTTGAGTAAGAAGAGAAAGACAAGTGTTTAAATGCTGACAAGTGTTCCTTTTGTAAGTTCATGTAGAACCCATTTTCCTAGTTTTTTCATTTTTTCTAAGGCTTTTAAATGGCATACTACTGTTAACTGATTTTACAAGCAATAAAGAGCTGAATAAACTTCAAAAATACTTTTAAGATTTGCTAACAATGTGAAAAAGATGGTACTGTGAATTTGTTTATCAATCTAATATATGGTATTTACTTGTCATACAAGCAAACACAAATATATATACAATAAATATATAGCTCCTCCTAAAGATTATAAAAAATGTGTCTTTCTGTAATAGTTTTTTCAGCTTTTCTATTTCTTGTTAGAATTTAATTGTATTCATTTATTTTTCAAAATTACAGGAACTCAAGGTAAGCTTTGTGATCTAACAACACTAAAGGAAATAAAAACCTTTGAACTTATGTTTGATGTATTTGCAATGATGTTTAGCAGCTAAAACTGTCTTATCTTTACATAACTAACATATGAATGCTTTATAAATTATAATTATTATATAAACCATTAGATATATACTGTTTAGTTGCATTAATAAGTTTTGTATACAGTTTAAATTTAAGGGTTATAAAACAAATAAATTTGATATTTGGGTAAAAAATTAAATGAATCTCGCTGTATCATTCCAAATAACTTACAGATTTAAAGCACAACTGAACTGCCATTTGTCTACATTTAGTGAAAATTTAAGAAAAATTGGACATGTTTTTTGAGATATTTAAGTTTAAATTTTTGTTCCTTTTTTGGATACTAGTCTATACACACATATATATATATATATATATATATATATATATATATATATATAAATATTGTTTGAAAAGTAAATATATATATGTATACAGATAAATATTGTTTGAAAAGTAAATATATAATGTTTGAAAATTTTTGTAAAAATTTGTTTTACAATATAGCAGTGAAAATTATCAATCTAATTTATAAAAATGTTAAAGATTACATAAACTGTGAATTAAATGTTTGAGTTTTGTGTTTTAACTTTAGATTTATTTTAAAATAGCTGTGAAATAAACAAAAGGCAGAAACATCATTTTCTGAAAGCATATCTTGATCAAATTTAATAACTGAATAAATTTTAATGAATAAATTTATAAAAAAACATTCAAGATTTAAGTTTTCAATATTTTACTTACATAATTTTCACTTTTTCATTATCACACATTAAAATCACTCTAAGAATATTTTGCTGATTGTCTTGCTGCAAATATATATGGCTAAAAATTAATTTTTGTAATATAAGTAAATATACTAAGACTTGTTAAAAATGTTAAAAAAATAATTTTAACTTTCAAATATACTTTCTTGCAATTTTTCTTTTATTCTATTTGTTTGTATTTTGTAAGTTTCCTCTTTTATAATGTATTGCATTTGCACATTTTTATAATGCATTGCATTTGCACATTTTTAAATCTTAAATCATGTTTTTTCCACCCTTTTTGATCAATAATTTTATTATTTATTTTTTCTCTTTACTCCAAATCAAAAAGAATCATTCTTAGCAACATTTTCTTTTTTTCCTTTTAATACTATTTATTTCTATTGTTAATAAATTCAAAAAACTACTGCAACTCAATTATTTTTAAAGTATTCCAAAATACACAAGAATCATAAACTAACTTTTGGTTTATCCATTATTTATTTGCAGTGTCAACTAACCAAAACAACTTGTGACTAACATTTTGGAAAACTGTAAAATTATTTGATTTCTTATAACATTTTTTATTTTAACAAATTGATTATGGGTTATACTTATGAATGTGGACATTTTAAACAAAAATAATTTCTCATTTGCATATTAATAAATATTAATACTCATTTTTAAACATTTAATTTATATAATTAACAAATAAAATGAATTTGCCAGATTTCTTGAATTAATTAAAATATCATAAAAATTGTTTCTTGTAAATTTTGAAGTACACTGCATATTATTGAGCAGACAGTATATTTTAAAGTTTGTAAGAAAAAAAAATCAAAAAATTAATTTTGTTATACTTTGGTTCCAAACAAATTTTACTAACTTTCTTATACAGTTTTCAACTAAAAACAAAATGAGAAATTTCAGGAAAATCATAGAATACAATTTTGTATTTTATGTAAAAATGTATTTCTTTTTTAAAATGTCAGTTTAATAAATGTAAAAATGTTCAACAATCATTTATCTGATATGCCCTCAACCATATTATTTCAAAATAGTGACAATTTTAATTTAAAACAATTTAGTTCTATCATCAAATACATTCTACATCAACTTGGAACACTATTATATAAGAAGATTTCTTTCAAAAAATGCATTAAATATCAAACAAAACTGTTTTCATTTAAATATATTACTTTTGCATCACAACAATTTTTGGTTTGACAGTTTACAAAAAAGGTTCAGATTTGTTCATTGAGAGAACAAAGCCAAAAAAAACTAGTATTGCTACAATAAAAAAGATAAATTATTCCAATGAAGTTTGTTTTCATATTAATTGATATATTGATATATTACAAAATAACTAGTTGCATATAATGACCTCAGTTGGTGGTTTTCAACCTTTATATCACATAGCCAGATTGCTAAATCACTGGCCTTCATTTTGTTAATTCACAGAAATCTATCAGTTTACTGGTACTTAAGTCCATTTGACAATCCAGGAGCAGATTACCTCATTACAGATTACTCTGGAAGTTGGTTCAATCCCTGGCTCAGGTAGTGCAAAAATAGGTACCAGGTAACTGAAGAAGCAGACAGTTATAAATTCTGAAATTCCATTTTTTGTCACATTTTTTTTAGTCATTTCACCCCAAGCAAAGCCACTAAATATTAGAGAATATGGGAAAAAGAAAAATGCTATTAATGAGAGAAAACTATAAGAGAACTAGAATTAAAAAAACAGAAGATAATGATTGACATTGCATTTAAATTTTTGAAGCAAAGTTGTCTGGGAAGCTAGTAGCCAGAATAGAGTTCCACAAGCAAGAAGTGAGAGAAAAGAAACTGTTAGCATAGAACTTATGATTACATCTAGCCATTTCAACTGTAAAAGGATTAGACCTTGCCACAAATCTAGCACTGTGCTTAAATTCATAAAGTCTAAGAAGAAAGTTCATCAGAACAATTACCATGAATGTATAGAAATGTATAGAAAAGATGTAGGGAAACTGTTACAATGGTGGGAAAGTGATAGAAGCTGAAATGCCTGGTTAACATTGCAGATTCTTCTTTGGATACCATAAAGTCCACATGCTTTATGAGGATCCAATTAAGAGATGATTGCAGAAACCATGGACAGAGTTATATGCATATCACTCAACAAAGACTCAGTTCTACATGGAAAGTCAGATAAAGATACTCCAGATGAGTCAAGAGTAGAATTTGAAGAGAATGTATGAGCAAAACATTCTGCTTCATCAGCAGAAGGTGTTAACATCTCAAATTGAGTGAAGAGAGAAGGAATAGAAGACTTACTATTATTTAACATTCTATTACAGAGCCACCAGCAGTTATGATAACTAAACTTATTAGAGGCTATACGGTGCCTCATTCTATCAGCAAACAAAGGCTTACCTTCTTTGAGGATATGCTTACAATTATTGTGAGTAGACACAAATAAGCATCTGTTGTGTACAGAACTATCACACTGGTACACCCAGAAAAAGTGATTCCTGCAGTGGCTAAACAGGTGTGAACCAAGGAGTGGTTTCAACTAGTATTTATGAGCATCAGTGTTCACTTTAACCCAAGAAGAAACTTCTGTGGCTTCAATAGGAAGGTTAAGAATATCAGTCTAAGGGGCCTCAAAAAATAAATCCCAATCAATATGCTGGTCACAGAAAGAAGTCTTGTGAATAGGAAGTTTCTTTTTAATAGACGACCTAAAGGAAATATCAACAGATACTATAGCATGATATAAATTGCTAAGAGGACAGTGTTGTGATGCTTTACAAGAGCTAGGAGAGTAGTTAAAGAACAAACCAAGTAAAGAAGCATGCTGATCAAAATTATTAGGAAAACGAGTAGGGAAATCCACTATTTGACTGAGTGACTGAACAATGAAAAAATTGAAAGTCTGAATACTGGCAACATCAGTAACATTAGAAAGCTTAAGCCACTTAGCATAATGAGTATTAAAATCACCAAGCACAATATTATTCTGGAAAATAAATAAAACAATAAAAATTTTGAAAAGGAATGAGAAAGGGTTCCATTCAACATTCTTAGGTGGTTACCAACTGTGAAACATTTATGAGGAAGACTGAAACATTTTAAAGAAGATTATAAAGACAAGAAAATTGGTCCAAATTAATAATATCTAATCACAGAAATTCAGGTAAAATGTCCAATAATCTTATATATTGTTAATTCTTTCAGCTATGTATTCCAATATATTAATTTCTGTTTATGAATTTTTCTAAAGCTTTTCTAAAAAAAATAATTTACATTTATCTTTTAAAAATATTAAACTAGCTATTAAATTTATCATTTCATTTTTAGAAATACTATAGGACTATTTAAGAAAGATGTTAATTTAAAAATATATTGGATATTAACAAATAATTAAAAAGTTTCAGAAAGTTAAATTCATTTCTTATGTACCTTTAAGTTTTCACACAAAATATATACTTGATCTTACACACTTAATTGTTCAACATGAGTTCAAGAATAGACTTTATAATTACCTTAGTAAATATTTAATATTATATTTAAATTATTTTCAGAAGATTAGTGATGTGTACTTGAAGGCTCTATTACTATTTCAAAATTAATATGATTTCATTCTTTTAACTTTGTTAAAATAATTAGTATAAATATATATTTTTCCAATTTTTTGGAAGACTTTATATTGGTGTTCCTCCAATTGTGCCTTTTGTTGGAGCAAGAAAGACATTTTGTCATCTGGAGAGACTTCGACCACCATGTTGCTTGAAATGGGGAATGGTAAGATTCAATTAGTTTCATACTCACTTTCTCTTTGTAATTAAATTTATCATTTTGTCTGCTTTTTATTTTAATTAGTAATTTTAGAACATTAAACTTTGTAATTTCTGCAACGGTTTTTGGAAGATTTTAATTATATAACAGTAAAATTGTTCATTTTTCCATTAATAAAAAAGAAATTTGAAAAATATATTAATTCTATTGTTTACCTTACCCAAGATTTAACCTATGTAATAAAATGCTTCAACTTTAACAAAAATGTATAAAATATATAATAATGTAAATGCTTTTTCATTAAGTTTACATTGAACATAGTTAACAGTCATTATATTTAAATCAATATAATTATATTAAAGTTTATATAAATGTATAAACTTTAATATGTTTATATTAAAGTTTATACATTTATATAAACTTGAGCAAATAAATTAGTCACCTTATTCTGTCATGAACAAAGTATCTCATCAATATATCTTTTTCAGACAAATTTTATTTCTATAATTACACACTTGATGTGTTTTGTTTACTGAAGTTGTTAACTGAAAAACTGAAATATTGCATTTTTAATGCCATTTGTTACTTTGAAATTACAATGATAATTTTTATTTAGACTTTTTTTAATCATTTCACCCCAAGCAAGGCAAATAAAGCCAATAAGACGCAAGTGGTTACTGAATGTTAGAGAGTACAAGAAAAAAAGTAAAATACTATTAAGGAGAGAGAACAATAAAAGAACAAGAACTAAAACAAAAGATAACAACTAACCTTACATTTAAATTTTTGAAGATCAAACTTGACTGGGAAGCAAATTATAGACAAATAAATAATTTGTAAGATGGAGAAAAAATTGTCTAGCACAGCATGGTGAACCAACTTTCCTAGTAGCAGACCTAGCAATTGATTCAATATAATCTTTCCACTTAATGTCAGCAGAAAATGTTAGCCTACATCACTCTCCCAGAGGTTAGCATCAGCCATGCTGATGAAAGGCAGAAAGGGACCTCTCAGATGATTGATGGAGAGCAGATTAATCTTGGAAGTGTTAAAATTAACAAGTCATTTTTTTATCCCAGTTAACAGCAGATTGTAGGTTATTTTTGAGATCAGTTGCCAATATGATCTTAACAGACTTTAGTAAGACAGGAGTAAATAATTATATCATCAGCATAGATACCAAGTTGAGAACTGATAGCAGAAACCACAGAGGGAGTTAAATGCATCTCACTTAACAGGGACTCAGTCCTAAGGGGAAAGTCAGGCAAAGATGCTCCAGATGAGTCAAGAGTAGAGTTAGAAGAGAATTAACAAGCAAAACATGTTAAAATGAGTGAAGAGAGGAGGGATGAAGGACATACTATTACAGAACCATCAGTAGTCATCAGAGCCAAAGTTGTTAGAAGCTATATGGTGCTTCTTTCTATCAACAAAGACTTGGCCCCTTCAAGGACCCTGTTACAATTATTATGCACAGACACAAATTGGTATCTGTTATGATTGAAACATATAGCCAGAAAAAGTGATTCTTGTGGGCTATAATGGCAGAATAGGCCAGTGTGAACAATGGAGAAGATTGTGGTTTCACCTGGTATTTCCAAGAAGGTACAAAAGTGTCAATGCCAGCTTTAATGCAAAAAGAAACCTCTGTAGCACATTTCTCAATAGGGAGGTTAAAAATATAAATCCAAGGGACGTCAAAAAAAAATTCATGAAACACATTCCAATCAGTATGTTGGTAATGGAAATCTGTATGACAGATGACTGAAAAGAGATATCAATAGATATTACAGCATGATCCAAATTGCCAAGAGAACAGAGTTGTATTACTCGATAAGAGCTAGGAAAGGGGGTAAGGAACAAGTCAAGTAAGGAAGCATATTGATCAGATTTGTTCACTAGAAATACATGCAAGTATACCTACCTGACATGGCACTACAAATACCTTGATATTATATGACTGTTGATCAAAGCAACCTCAGTAAGTGCTTCCAAAGAGTCCAGGCTCTTTACTACATTGGATGCAGCAATCAGAAAACCACCAACCCATTACCCTTATAATGTCACAGCCACTGTTCAGTTAGATCAGCAAAAAGTTAAGACAGTCAAATCATTATGGCCAGGGAAGAAAAAAATGGTAAACCATATTCTAAACAAGAAACAAAGTAAGCCTCAACACCTGTTCAGAACATAGGAGTTCATGCTAGGCAATAGTCAAGCCTATTTATTCCTATTAACCTGTTCACTGCATAGGAGACAGGGTGTATTTATCAAAACCACATCTCTAAGAAGGTTACCAAATAAGGCTCAAAACCCCTTCCAAGCCAAGGGAAATTATTGACATTACACTGAAGATTAACCCCAGAGTTGAACTCAAAGGAATTTTAATAGATTAGATCACTCCATCAAATTAAAATTGAGAATTTATGGTTTAAATATACATATATACAGACAACACACATGCATACAATTTATACTCAACATCAGAGTAGAGAGTTGGCTATCAAATGGACAGCTGATTCTTACTATTTTTGTAATTTCTGTTTAAATGATAATATTAGAAGTCAATCAATAAATATGAAAGGAATATGTATGTACAAGACTATTGGCACAAGTATATATAAAATCATTTTTATTATTGTAATTAAAAGTATTTGAATGTTAAATAAAGATTAGGAGTGGAAAGATTGCCTATACAGAACCACTTATTCAGAAATTTACAGAAGGGGATTGAAATTAAATTTGTATATACACAGTGTTAGCTAAGAGGTTTGCAATGAAGAGTTTCAGATTTGTTCATTGCATATGCCAACCTAATCACTCTTAAATTATTTATATTCTACTTCCCATCTCTTGATCATGAAAGGAAATTGAGGATCAGAGTAAGAGTCGTGGGGTTAAGTGTGGGATTAGTTTAGAGTATATTAGGGTGGGGGTTAGTTAGGGATCTGGCACTATTGTTTTAATCTAGTGAAAGTTCAAATATTCCCTATTTCAAAACAAACTCAGTAAACTCATTAACAATAGCAAATGGTCCAATGTCAGCAGAAAAGACCTAATAACAAACTTATCCAAATTCCAACTATCAGATACACAATTAGAAGCCCTCACTTTGGTCAGAAATTTGCCACTGGAATACCAAAATATGACACCACAGATTACATAATTAAAAATCATCACCACAATGACTCGGATTTTACCAAAGGCTATATCCAAGGCCTAATCACAGCTATACACAAAAATGCAAACAACACTGCACTTCCTCAAAGATACATAAAAGCCCTGAAAAAATTAACCAACAACAAAAACATCCATATATCTAGTACTGATAAGGGCAGGGGAATTGTAATCATGAATAAACACATTTACCAACAGAAGATGAGAAAACTCATTAATGATGATAACATCTATAAAAGAAACACAAAAATTCACAAACGATGTCAAAAAGCTACTAAAAAATGAAGACTTCTCCTGGATAAAACTTACTGAATACCATCCAAAAACATCCACAGATTACCAAAAAGACATAAATCGAACACCCCAATATTTACCTAAAGAAGAAACATACATAGAAAATACATTCAAAAACCTACAATACCCATATCATTTCATCCACAACACAAGAAGAAAAGTATACAAAATATACAACTGAAACAAAAATAATAACATAATCCATAACAATAAATTACATGAAAACAGATGCATAATACTACCGACTAACTCCGTCACATCCACAATCCAGAACAATCTATCCCATCTAAATAATCTTAAAATAATCACAAACACTTCTAAAATCATTATGAATATACTCAGATCCTCAAACACTCAAGCAATATTTCTGAAGCAGGCATTTATAAAATAAATTGCCAAAACTGTTCCTCCCAATATATTGGAGAAACAAGCAGAAATTTTAAAAAATGCATCTATGAGCACTAAAGAGACCTCACAAAAAACAACTACTGCACTAATTATACATAGAAATAAATTCAACCACAATTTTGATTTTAAAAATGCTACACTCATAAAAAAAGAAAATAACTCACTCAGAAGGAAAATCCTCAAGAGTGCTACCATTGAATATTATCCAAATATTAATCTACACCCAGGCTTTTTCACAATATCACCTTTCCTAACAGAATTACTACTCTCCCAAGCAAACGTACACAACTGTATCAAGAAATCAAAAGAAAATGGTTGAATCTGTCAACACAACAATAGAAACAATATTTCCACACGTGATATAATTTTCAGTTGACAATATGAATACAATAGCATTTTCTAAATTCTTCTATTTGTTAAGGACATTTTGTTTTGTTGTTAATAGTTACTTTGTTTTTAATAAATTCATTTCATTTTTGCCTTGAAAAAGTCCACATTGGATGAAACGCATCAACTGATAATACAGTTTTCCTATTGTCTTTTACCTTTATACATATTGTCTTTTTCTGAAATTTTTTTCACATAACAATATGTAATAATGTAAGATATAAATGCATTGACTCCAGAAATATTTGAACAAAAATAAATGATAGATTGTATTAATTTTATTAGAATAAATAGCTTTATTTAGTAATTACTAAATTAATTATTTATTGCTTTGGTTTGTCTTATTTTGAATGACAACAATACAACAAATATTGTCTAAAAACTTTAATTATTTAAACTAGTATCCTCTTTGTCATTTTTAATCACACCATTTTCACTGATATACTCATCATTCTTCAAGTGCATTCTATGCATTACTCAGTAATCCACTCACTTGTGGATTACTGAATAATCCACAAGTGAGAAAAGAAAAATTAGAAATGAATCCATCTTGAGGGGAATGTATAAGTATCCCAGTAAACAATTTAATTGAAATATTCTCTGTACAATATTCCACATTTCTGATTTGGATCAAATATACACTAAGCACCTCTTTTGCAGGTAGTGCCAAAAATTTGTATGAAATACATATATTATCTTAATTTTATTGGATGAAACATTATTCATTTTTAATCATTATTCATTTTTTACATGTATTTATCCTAATTTTAGTTTCTTTTCATCACAACTATGCAGACTGTCACTTGACAGCCACTAGTAAATGGTGCAAATTGGAAATAAAGCAAGAGTGCATGTTCAATTCTTGCTAAGAACTTATTCTTTATTTCCAGTCTGTGTTATTTACTAGTCATTTACTAAAAATACATATTAAAAGTGAATAATGGTTAATCTAGAGAAAGTTACCATAAGAATATCTTCACATTATCTCCACAGACTAGAAACTGTCTTGACATATTTTAGGAGTCACTACTTCCAATAATGAATCAGTATAATGCAGGCACTGGATTGAAATGTTTTGTTTTATATAAGTATTATTCATTTTCTTGACAATTTTTAGTTTCTGGGGGATATAATTCTATAATTTATTTCAAATGAGACTACTGATAATTTCTGTAATTCTTCAATTTAAAAAATTTAAATTGAATCAAAGATTCTGATATTTATTCTACTTAACAATGATTTAATGTTTATAAAATCCTTTTATTGCTTGTTTCTTACTATGTGTGTAACTTATAATTTTCAGTCAAGTATTCACAAAATTGTCTGAAGAAACTTATTGTTATTAAAATAAAATAAAAATTCAAGTAAACTAATGAAATAAAAGAATTAGTTCTAGATTATTGATCTACTTTCAAATCATTTTATGAGAGTAGTTAATGACTTTCCATTTCTTTAAAATCAGCCAAATTTATGATTCATTATAAAACTACTTAGGAGGATTACAGTTCAAAATCAGTAAGATCAACAATATAAAATTTGCCAATATGTTGTTTTGCAATACCAAATATAGTAAACCATTAATTTATTTAAATTATTTATTGAAAGAACAAAAAAACTTTGAAAAAGCAAATTTTTACTCATTTGAAAAATGATTATTCTTTTTTTTTAGGATTGTGTTCATTGTCCATTTAAGAATGCTAAAGATGCTCGTTGGCAACAACAGCTTATCATTTTGGTAGCTGAGAATGCTTATGGTGGCATTTATAATTTTATTGTTCCACTGCGGCAACATTTTCTGGATAGAGAAGCTCTGAGACCTATTATTCTTCTCTTAGAACAAGAGTAAGTTCTTAACACATTATAACTTTTAATGAAAACTGGAAATAATACTATCTTTTTTTTTTTAATCACTGCTATTTTGTATTTTGAAAAACACTCCAATATCAAAATGCTTTGTAAGCTGGTCTTTAATCCTATTGACTTAGTCTGCTCCTAGCAAATTACTGACTACATTAATTAGATTACAATAAAAGTATTTACAAAGTTACAGAAATTTAGAACAAATTAATGCTACTCAGTTACAGTAGTCCAAAACCACTTTGCTACTTTGAACAAACATATTCCTTTCCCGGACATATCAGTTGGCAACGAGATTCGAAACGACCTCACAAGTTAAAACAAAAGAAAAAAATATACAGTTGACAACACTTACTAACGAAGAATGTTAGAAAGACTTGTTTGACGCTTACAGAAAGTAAGTAATTTTTCCCTCATTTTTGTTTTAAAGCTTATTATCGAGGAATGTTAGAAAAGGAAAAATTTGTGCAACACTTACAGAAAGTAAGAAATTGCACCCCCTCTTGTTTGGACATAGAAAATTTTATTGTCTACATAAATTGGAGCAAAATTTTTTCTTGTGGATACGTTGGCAGAATGGAACAAATTGCGGAATTAACTAAGGTGCTACAAGTGACTATACAGCAACAATTCCAACAACAACAATTTATTCAGCAACAATTCACAAATCAAAAGTGTATGTGCTCCCTGATTCAGTAAACCTCTTTGGTTTACTGGATCGTATTGTTTAATTTATGGGGATTACCGGTAAATTCTTTCTGTAATGAAGATAATGTCACAGAGAACTATAAGACGAAGCAAACAGAAAAATTTATTACAGATTTGAAAGGCGAATTCCCTCACGTCTTTTCAGAAGGACTAGGTCTGTGCACAAAAATAGAAGTCAACTTCGAATTGAAAGAAAATGTTAAACCAATGTTAAACCAAGAGAAAAGTACCATTTTAGGCACTAGACACAATGAATGAGGAATTAGAAAGGTTGGAGAAAATTGGCGTAATTTCAAAAGTCGATTACTCAGATTGGGCGTCTCCAACCGTATATATAAAAAAGAAAAACTGAAAAATCAGAGTGTGTGCTGACTTTTCAACAGGCTTAAATGATTGTGTAAAGGACCATGCGTACCCTCTACAGTCTCCGGAGGATCTATTCACTAAAAATTAAACGGAGGTAGATTGTTTTCAAAGTTGGACGCCGGAGGCTTACCTTCAGGTTAAAGTCAGTGAAGAATGTTCGAAGTAACTGACAATAAATACGCATAAAGGGATTTATAAACTAAATCGTTTTCCTTTTGAATTGAAGGTAGCTCCAAGCCTATTCCAGCAAATAATGGACACAATGTTGGCTGGTATGGAGTATGTAATCGCATATTGAGATGATATTTTGATTAAAAGTGAAAACGAGGCCCAACACAAAATGCATATTATTAGGAATACGGGTTCAAGCTGATTGCAGAAAAATGCGAGTTCTTCTTAAAGAAGATAAAATATTTAGGGCAGATCATTGACAGTAAAGGAAGAAAACCGGATCCAGAAAGGGCTGAGGCTATAAAAAATATGTCAGCACCTGATAATGTGGCTAAACTCCAGGCCTTCTTGGGATTAGTAAGTTACTATAGCATTTATATCCCCAAAATGTATGATATGAAAGCTCCTTTAAATAATTTGATGAAAAAGGGGCGCAAAGTGGATGTGGTTGAAAGAATGCGAATAGGCTTTTAAAAAAATAAAAAGCTGTCTATTAGCAGACCTATCGTTTTAGCGCATTTCAACCCGAAGAGGAAAATCATTGTAGCAGCAAATGCCAGTAATGAGGGACTAGGTGCGGAAGAGAATACGGAAGAGAATTTATTCTGCAAACAGACCACAAACCGCTGTTAACAATATTTGGTTCAAAAAAAGGTATACCAACTCACACGGCAAATCGACTACAGTGTTGGGGTTTAATTCTATTGAATTATAATTTCAAAATAGAATATATGCCTTCAAAGAAGCTAGAACATGCCGATGGGTTATCAAGATTGATACCGAAATATACTGAACCACTGGAAGGAACAGTAATAGCAGCGCTAAGAGACGAAAGTGAATTGTCGGGTCTGTTATGCAACACTATTAGAGAACTAATATGCTAATTATGCTAGAAGTTATGAAAAAAGCAGCGGTGAATGATGATTTCATTAAAAAAAAATGAAAAAACAAGTCTGGTTGAACGAGAAAACTAAAAAAAGGAATTAGTGTGTCACTTTTTTCAATCTGCGAACAGGTATACGCAAATAGAGTTGTAATGCCGGTTACTCTACAAAAAAAATTCTGAAAGAATTTCACACTGGCCATCCAGGGATTTCGAGAATGAAATCTCTAATGAGAGTCTATACTTATTGGCCGAGGATGGACCAAGACATAGAAAATTTGGTGAAACAGTGAAGAGGATGTCAACTGGCAGCAAGGGACCCACCAGTAAAGATTCAACCATGGCCAAAGACAGATGTCCCAGGGACTCGATTGCATATCGACTATGCAGGGCCGATAAATGGATCTTATTACCTGATCATTGTGGACAGTTTCACTAATTGGCCAGAAATTGTTAAGTTCAGACATCTGACTGCAACAAATACAATAAAAGCACTTAATGAAATTTTTAGTCGCTTTGGACTCCCTAAAACTTTAGTCAGCGACAACGGAACGCAGTTCATGGGAAGAGAATTCGAGGAATTCTGTACATCATTGTCCATTGATCACGTGACAATGCCAGAGCGAATGGACAGGCAGAAAAATTCGTGGACACCTTTAAATGAGCGTTGAAGAAAAACCAAGGCGTGGACATGAATGAAAGAAGTATTCAGAAATTTTTGGCAGTATATAGAATCACGCCAAACCCGAATACGACGTCAGGGTTATCGCCAGCAGAGTTAATGTTTGCGAGAAAAATACGCTCTGTGTTTGACAGGCCATTCTCTAGTCCGACGAAGAAAACTGCTAAAAAAGAAAACCAGATGACTAAAGCGTATAAGCCAGGTGACAATGTTTTTTTCAAGAACTTTAGGATTGGAAAAATGTATTGGGAAGAAGGAATGATAACCAAAAGGATTGGACAGGTCATATATAACATAAAAGGGGGAAATTTTCGGTGCAAAAGACATTGGAATCAATTGAAACCCAGACACACTACAGAGGTCACGGAAAATACCGAAGAGATTCCAATGGAAGTCCTGTATGACGCATCTGAAATTCCCGTTCCAGTAAGTCAACATTCGCCAATGGAGGTATTCCCGACCTCAAGGCCAGAGGTACCAGTGTGCCAAACACCACCACTGCAAGAAGGATTGAGGCGAAAAAAACTTAGGAAAAAAATCAATCGATTAAGTTCAGACCCTAAAAAGAGAAATTATTGAAGCTAAATTTCACGGGAAAATTTAGCTCAGGAGGAGGTAATGTAATGAATATGCATACACCTGGGTTCTCCCTCACAGTAATATGATTGGCTGGTGTCAGCCATAAATACAGACTGATGTGGGGGTACAGGAGGACACCTGTTGGCTACGCCTATAGTCTTCACCTATTGCCTACCACTACGACGAGGACCAATCAATTACGGTTACCTGCTAGATTGTCCTACTCGGTTACAGTAGTCCAAAACCACTTTGCTACTTCGAACAAATATATCCCTTTCTGGGACATATCAGATAATGAGCACTTTATTGCAAAGATTGCTTGACTTAAATGTGTTTTCTTTCAATACCCCATTGACTATCAATATTTTTGGCTTCATACTATCTTTGAGATTGCTACTCTCTCTCTCTCTCTCTCTATATATATATATATATATATATATATATATATATATATATATATTGCATTGATCATTTCATTTTTCTTCCTTTTTCAATAAATAACACTTAGCAATTATTAAATATAAAAAAATCTGTTGAAGGAGGAATGGAATTTGGCTTTACTGTTTCTTAAAAAAATGATATGTTGGTTTGTTTCATAATTCTCATACTTTCTTTTGTTTTTAAGACCAGAGAGTGTATTTTTGGAAATCATTGCTCATTTTCCTTTGGTTTATTGGTTAATTGGGAAAATTTCAAGGTAAGTCATTAGATACTAGGTTTTTAGAAAAATTAACATAATAAAAATGTAGCAATTTATATTGTTGTTTTTTTTTCAAATTCATTTTTATGAAATAATTTAAACTTTGTTTTTATTTGAATTTTTTATATTATAAATTACCATTAAACAAATTTACTCAGACAAGTATTAACATCTTGGTTATAGTCCCAATGTTTTGACAACTGTACTGTCTTTTCTTCTTCAGGTGTCTGTTATAGTTGGGAACACTCTGGAAATTTCAAACCAAACACTTTATTCATGACTACTTTTATCCACTAGAGAAGATCATGGTCTAGTGGATGAAAGTGTTAGTTAAGTGGACCTAGTTCAATCCCTGGGTCAAGTATTGACAAAAAGTCACACTCTGGTTTAAGGGAAAATACAAGATATCCTCTGGTATGAACTTCAGGTTGAGAACAATCACTTTGAAATTCCAGAAGTTACCAATCAAGGCAGACACTTGAAAAAAGCCAGAGGGTATAATGGCTGAAATGCAGTAACTATAATAACTGAGATTAAACATTGATTGATTTGATTGAACAAATTGTTCACTGGTTAAAGGTGATAGTTATAAGTTAAAATGATGAAGATAACATAAATAAAAATTTCAGTAAATTATTTGTTTTTGAAAAGCTTTTAATATGTTCTTGCCTTCAGTGTGGATGATCTTCTCAGAGCAGGAATTACAAAAGCAAGCCAGATTGTGATTGTGAAGCGGGAGATGACTGAGAATATAACAGAAAGATCACTTATGGATACTGGCACTATCATAGCAGTGCAACAAATATTCAAGTAAGTTGTAGTGAAATAATACAGAAGTTACTTTTAAGAGGGAATATAGACACACACATATTGTCTTGCCAGAGGTAAGGATCTTATTCCAATGGAACTTGGAAACCAATATGTCCAAATCTAGATACTGACAAGAAAGGGGATAAATGCTGGTTTCAGGTAAAAACAAGAAATGATTTATTCAAACATCAAAGTAGCATAGATCTACGAAGAACACAAATTTATACCCAGTTAGATATAATAGGAAAATAAGACTGCTCAAGAAAGGAAGTAAATAAGTTAATTCTAAAAAGAGTTTTTAAAATAAATCTCTACTTGTCTTTTGCAAAAGGGGAATGAAGAATCACTGTTGTTCATTTGCATCCACTAACATTAATTTTGTCCCACTATATGAGAATGTAGACAATCAAAACTTTTACCTTTTCTCTTGCCATACATGTCTCTTTAATTTTCATTCTAGGATGAAATGAAAATACATTTGCATTTTAATAATGACTTTTTTTTGTTGCAAAAAACCACACTAGTTGAATTTCTTTACTGTCAGTGTCATACTGGCCAAAAAGTGAATACAACATATGTCTGATTAAAAAACCTGGTTTTGATTGACACATCTCTTGCCATTGAAGACAGGCAGATTGGTATTTTACATTTTTCTGTTCTTAATCTTTTTTTCCACTTGAGTGACCAATCAGCATGTGTCAGACATCTTTAGATCCTCAATTCTGTTTCAATAAAAACAAATAGAATTAAATCAGTATTAATAGGTTTGATTTGGTTTGGTTTCTATTTTCTTTTAGTGCTCTTTTGGAGCCAGGTCCAAACCAACACTCTGACCTTTGCCTCCACTTCTGACCAATTCTTCTTCAGCTGGAGTCTAGGCCTGAACCACACTCCAAAAATGGGGATGGGTCCATCAGTCCAGCTGAAGGCCCTGGAAGTACAACCCCCTTCCAGGCACCTAACTGCAAACTGGAAGACTTGTTATGGTTAATTTTGGCCCCTGTCAGCTTCTTGTACCATTCAGGCACTTTCTGCACCACCTTAATGCCACTGCAGCATGACACGAAAATGGATATGTCACTGGCATATGCAGAAACCCTTGTTCCTCAACTGGCAAAGGAGGGTCTCCAATGCCAAAGCATTTACTTTATGCTTTATATGGGTGACAGTGAACACCTCTATCATACTGAGCTAATCAGCACAAAAGGGCTCGACCGCCTTCCGTTCACCTGTACCACAGCACTGGGGGAGCGATACAAAAGGCTAATCCACTTGCAGAAGTCAGGTGCAAATCTGGCAGCCAGCAGGTATGATAGTCCACCCTGTCAAATACTTTGGACTGATCTCATGGCTCACTTGTCATCTTCTAAACCCTTTATGATCATGTGGATCAGATGCAGATTGCTTTGAATTGTTCGTCCCCTCACAGCACAAGTATGCTTGGGTCCCAACAAGCTCGCGACAACTGACTGCAAATGCTTCGTCAGGATCTTGGCCAAAATCTTTAACTGTGTTTAGCAGAATTATGGGCCTGTAATCATCTAAATCTCTCCCAACACCCTTGCCCTTTTTCAATAGCATGATCAACACCCCTGGAAATCCAGTCAGAGATGGACCCTACCGGAACCAGTTGTTGAACATGACAGTCAAAATCGGAACAAAGATGTGCAACAACCTCAAGTACATTTCGTAGGGCAGACCATCAAATTCCAGAGACTTGGCAATGAAGAAGGTCAGCAGTGGCAAGTGAACTTCGCCCTTTGTGATCTCACCTTCACAGCTAGCTGCTTCAGTCAGCGAAAGCTGAGGAAAGTTAGCCAAAATGCTGTGCAAGTTATCTCCACTGAGACCAGGCTCCTTGGTAAAATGGCTCTTAAAATGCTACCAAAACACCTCGCACATGTCCTTGGTCAACCCCATAGAACGTCACTCCACAGAAGTGACTTTGTGAATGTAACAATCACAACCTTCACGGATCTCTTCCTTCCTCTATAAAAGAATACCCGCTCGGCCCGGTGGCTAGGATCAAAGTGTAGTATCTGCGCTTTGTGAGCTGCCGAGCGGGTGTCTGTCGAACTCTCTGCTTGCAGAGGAACCTGGACGAGGCTCCATGAAGGGTGGGGTTTCGTTCGGGAGGTTGACGGAACTAGCCCGCTTGGTCGGGTTTAGATGGGTTTATTTTTGGCTGGGCCTACGGGCTCGGACATACCCACATTAAAAAGGCCTTGTGCCACATTCAATTCCTGTGGGTGAATTGATAAATACCATCTCTTCCTTGCGCAGTTCTGCATCCATGTTAATGGCTTCATTAGACATCTTGTTTAATCTCAGTCTCATGCTTTAGGGCCTGCTTAGCTACTAGTATCTCTAGGGAATCCCCACCAGCCACTGTCCAGGACAGACTATCCTCTAAAGCCTTCACTTTTTTAGTCCTATCTAGGGCGAGTCATTGGCTATATTTGGTGGTGAAGGATGTAATTCTATCCTTAAGCTTCTCCCACCACTTATTCCCAATAACTACCCCCACTAGTTCCTGTTGCACCAATCTAATTAGCTGTTGCTGGAAGTCCCGCCTAACCAGTAAGGACAGATTGAACTTCCAGTGTCCAGCCATTCTAGGCCTATCACCTAACACCATCTGAGCACATATGAGTCTATGATCCGGGTCAGTGTTACATACAACACCATATCCACTGTGACAATTACAGACTTGCTTATGATGGAAGATACTTCTTCTAGAGGTTCATACTTTGAAAAGAAGCCCCCACCACGATCTTCACATATATCTATGGGCATTACATGCACAGTAATTTTTGTCCGTCAGATTCCCATGTTCTCTGTTTGGAGTCTTAGCGTTGTTGTTGTTAGGGTATTTCCAGCAAGCTGTTTCACTTCTTGTTCTGTCACTGGAAGGATATCCCATATTGCATGGGATCTCCTAGCTGAGATTTTGAGACTTTTTAGAGCTTCTTCAATCATTTCCCTGCTGACTCCAATCAATTTCTAACTTTTTACATTGGTAGTCAGCAGGGAAATTATTCTTGCATTAACTGCATCCAAGGCTTCTGGTATCATCAAAAACTCATTACCTTGGACATATTGTTCATATTTGACTCTTTGTTCGTCATAGAACACTGAATCTTTCTTTGGCCTATTCTCCGTCCAGGAAGTTTTTTTTTTTTTTGCAGTGATGAATTTTGTGTTAGCACTGCTGGTGCATTAGAATTCTCTGCCATGGTGGCATAAAACCACCACAGCTAAACAAATAAATGTTCACCTTATAAAATTGGCTCGTTCTTAAAAACAAAAGAAAAAATCTCACAAAGGATAAAATAAAGTCAAAAAACAAATAAAATCAAATGAGAATGTGGAAAATTAAAGTCAATAAGCATAAAATAAACAACAATTAAAATAATACAAAAAAAAAGAAAATAAAACTGAATTAAAAATGGAACAACACAAGGAAAAAAACTTAAAGAAAAAGTAAACAAATGAAAATAAGTACACACAAATACAAAGGAAAAGTTCAACAAAATAAAAGTAATACACTTAACAATTTGTAAGCCAGGTAAACTTGGGCTGAAGCAAACTCAAACATAACACTACACTCTATTAGAGGATAGACTAGAAATAGCAATCCAAATAGTAATAGAGGATAGAATAGAAATGTGATCGTTAGTCGTGATGACACATTCTACTTATTCGTTTCCTCTATGGTCAAGTGGTCTACTTAATTCAATAATGGAATTGCCTGTGTTTGCTCTCTGGTGATCTATGTTCAAACTCAAATGTTGGCAGTGACACTTTATTACTATATAACATCATCAAATATAAATGATAATTTGTTTTTTATATTCCTATACTATAAAAATAATTATATATATATCCTACCTACTCCTATTACATATAATACATACAAGAACGACAAAAACAGAGGGAAGGATAAGAGGAGGAGGTAATTGGCAAAGAGACCTGGTTGACACTTGGATTTTACCCTTTCACAGCATTAAGTTTTAAGTACAAGTCCCATTGTCTATTCTAAAAAGAAATTGAAGAAAATAAGGTTATCTGGATTTATTGGTATGTCATAATAACCAACATACACGGCAGAACTAAACCATCAAATAGGTTACAATAATTAGGACAAAATGTGTTACTATGGTCAAACACACTGATGAGTAGAGGGAGAAAAAAAATAAAATAAAATTTAAAGATTAAAAAATTTAAAGAATTAAAAAATAGAGAAAAATGAAAATGAGTTTTCGGTAGAGCGAAATTATACTCACACAGGGCAGCAAGTGTTTGTCCGCTTTCTTCCTCACGATAACAAGTGAATGTATGGCTTACCTTAAGTCCAAGCATCGACCTGGTGGGGGTGGAATCAACGGCCAATCCTCTGCCCTCACCAAATAGTGGGCTTGGGAGACATGCTTTCAATAAAATTTGCAAACCCTCTATACCTCCTTTGTTCAACCAGTTCGAAGTTCTGACCTCCTCTGCCGACAAGGCTGAATGCTTTGCTCGGAAATTTTCATTCAACTCGACGCTCAACTCTTCCGGTGTACCCATACCCAACTTCCCTCTTAGAACTGAGGTGCTATTGAGTGGGTTACACATAACCCCGTCTTTGGTATTGGGCATTATCTCCAATTTAGACCCCAACAAGGCTAGTGGTGGAGATGGGATGCCAGCCATTGTCTTGAAGAAATGTGCACCTGAACTGGCGCCCGCCCTTTCTAAACTATACAACTACTGCCTCAAGGAATCTTGTTTTCCTGACTGCTGGAAGTCCTCTTCGATTGTTCCTGTCTTCAAGAACTCTGGTGACCGCTCTGACCCTTCTACCGTCCTATCAATCTCCTACCCCTCTTCGGCAAAGTCTTTGAAGCCCTAATCAATACCGAGGTGGTTAACCACCTCACATCCCATGATCTGCTCTCAGACAAGCAATATGGCTTCCGCTTTGCCCAATCTACAGCTGATGTGCTTACGGCCATCACTGAAACTGTCTACCGAGCTCTTCAAAATAACGGGGAAGCTCGTGCCGTGGCCCTAGATATCTCCAAAGCGTTTGATAGGGTTTGGCATGCCGGCCTTCTTTGCAAGCTCCAGGGTTATGGCATTACGGGTCGATTGTTTGACCTAATACAATCATTCCTGTCAAACCGTGAATTGAAGGTCGTTCTCAACGGATTCTCCTCCAGTTCCTATCCCATGAACGCAGGTGTTCCTCAAGGCTCCATCCTAGGCCCCACTCTATTCCTTATCTACATAAATGACCTTCCTGATGCCATAAATTCCCAAGTTGGCATCTACGCAGATGACACCACAATTCCTGCCTCAAAACCAAATCTAGTGTCACTGACAAAACTAACCTGGCCGTGCATCTCGAAAAGGACCTCCAATCAGTTGTGAACTGGGGCAGGAAATGGCTGGTCAACTTTAATGCTTCAAAAACAAAACTGCTCCCTACTAATCATCACAGAGATCCTTTCCCGCCCTCCATGCTCAACTTCTCGAGAGCAACTCTCTGCGGCTGCTCGGTCTCACGTTGATTGCTGACCTTAGATGGAACAAATACATTGAGTCAATTGCTTCATCCACCGCAAAGAAAGTTGGCTCCCTGTGCCACGCCAGAAAGTTTTTCTCCCTGGAATCGATCCTCCAGATCTACAAATCAACAATTCGCCCTTGCATGGGGTATTGCTGCCATATATGGTTTGGAGGCCCTTCTGTTTGCCTCGGTGTTCTTGATAAGCTCCAGAGGCGGATATGCAATATAATTGGCCCTGATCTGGCATCTCGTCTACAGACACTTTCTCACAGACGCGCCGTCACCTCTGTCTGTTTTACAAATACTTTCATGGCAATTGCTCCGAGGAGCTGCATTCGCTGGTTCCCAGACTTCATGAGTTCAAGCGCCCTACGAGGCCGACATCCCTCTCTCACCCTTTCATTGTCGAAACTCCTAAATGTAGCCATCTTTTCTACGCCAATAGCTTCATGTCTCGCACCTCTCACCTGTGGAACTCCCTTCCCTATTCCAGTTTCCCTGAGAGCTATAATCTCCAACTATTCAAATGTAATGTCAATCAACATCTCCAGTTGCCTTGATCTATCCACTACCCTTCTCCTCATCCTTTCTTCTATCACTTTTATCTGATCTTGCTCCAAATTTTCTGTAACCCCTTGAGTCCTAGTGGCTTCCCACCTTGCTTGGGGTGAAATGCTAAAAAAAAAAAAAATATATTAAGTTCTCATGCATAGCTTTAGCATTTTGCTAGAAAGATTTTTTTAGCATTTTGCTAAAAAGATTCTTTTAGTTTTTTTCTCAAAAGATATTTTTAGACTTCAGAACGTTTTGCTTTCCAAAATTTACAAAAGTAACTATTCATACTTTGCTAATTTGAAAAAAATATATAAAGTAACACAGTTTATTTTTCAAATTATTTTTCAAATTATGTAAGGTATTTTATGAAATAATCTTTCTTTGTTTTTATCCATCATTTTCTTAATATTTTATATTACAGTTCTTGCATTATTCAGTAGAATTAATATAAATTTCATTTTTCTTAACTGTTAAGACTTTTCCCAAGTGCTAACATCCTCACTGAATTGGATCAAGCAACAAACATGAGATTTATGAGCTTCAAAGCCCAGGACCAATATTCTATGAACATTTCAAAATTAGAAAAGGTATTGTTAATTTGTTTTAATCTTTGATGTTTTTCAATATTTTTTTCACTACTTTTTCAGTTTATCATGAATATAAAAATGAATGTTGATCATAGATAATTCATACAATTATATTGAGCAACAAAGATTTTGCTATTGGAATAAAAGCATGCATTTTAGACTAAATTGATTATGTTGCTTTGAAATGTCAGTGCTCAAAAGTGTTCTTGGAATTTGGATGATGTGCATGTTTGCAAAGATATTCCATCATAAAAAATGGATAACAAAAAACAAGTTTTTGTTTACAAATAATGCTGTACAAAACTCAATCAAGTTTTTTTATATATGTGCAGAGCATATTTGTTTTCAAGGTAAATATGATGATGATGATGGCATTGGATTAATTCATGTTAATTATAGAGAACTTTCTTGGGTTTCAAAGAGCTGAAAACTATGCTGATTTAATAAATTCCATTAGGATATATGAAATAGAATCAAGGTATCAAGGCTGGTTCAACTCAAATTATTTTGGCTCCTACAATAAAAAAACCAGCTCAAAGCACAAAAGCAAGTATCTTAAACATTTATGAAAATAATTAAAGTCAGTTTTTTTATATTTATTTGGTTATTTCACATCACCATCAAAACTTTTCATGTATCTAATCTAGAACACTCTTGCATATCCCAAAAAGTTGAAAAATTCAAAATTAGTGATTGAAAAAATAGCATTATGCAATGTTACTTTAACAACACTAATATTACTTAATCTCGTGTGTTGCATCTATGAAAAAACAGCTATTTGATTTTTGTCTATTCCCATCAGATTGAATGAAAGGAATACAAGTTGTATTTCTTTTATATATTATACCCAAAAGTCACTCAATAAATATATTATTTAATTATTGGCTTAAAACTCATTTTGAGTAAACCAATTAATGAATTTAAAGATTTTTTTTATAATATTAAATCATTTCTTTCTTTTTAATATTTTATTCATCAGACACTTTTATTTTTATTAGCATTTTTCAGTTAATACATCTGCCTGTCAATAAAAATATCTACTTTCCCTGTCTTCCTTTTCTTGTATTTTAATTTAAATGCATGCACGTCATTTTTACACATCATTTTTAGGATTTTTTACAATCCCAAAAATAGTATTTAAATTTTAAATATTTTTATACATTGTTGAGAGTACATAATGATAAGATTTTTCTGCTATGAAATGTTTTATGTAAATAAATAAGTAGCATAATTGAAAAGTGTATTTCTGATTATTTCATGTAAAGGAAAAAGAAGAAAAATTAAAAAGGGTCTTTTTAGTATTTTTCATGTAAATAAATGAGAAGAAAAATTGAAAAGTATTTTTTTACATTTTTCATATAAATAAATAAGCTGAAAAATAGAAAAGTGTCTTTCTAGCTTTATATCATGTAAATAAATAAGTAGAATAATTGAAAAGTGTCTTTTTCTTTTATTTCAATCCAATTAATTTGTAGAATAATTGAAAGGTGTTTTCCTGTCATATTTTATATAAATAAATGTGTAGGTTGATTAATAGTGTCTTTTTGGCTTATTTCATGTAATTTACTCTGTACATTAGTTTAAAAGTGTCATTTTGGGTATTTTGTAAATTGATCTTTAGAATAGAAATGTTTCTTGTTGGCTTATTTTCAGTACAATAACTGAAAAGCTTATTTCATGCAAATTAATATGTAGAATAATTGAAAAGTGTCTTTTAATTCACTTCAAGTAAATTAATCTGTAGAATAAGTAAAAGGTATCTTCATGTCTTATTTCATAAATAAATGATTTATGTAAATTAATATGTAGAATAATTGAAAAGTGTCTTTTTGCTTATTTCCTGTAAATTAAGATGTAATAAATAATTGAAAATGTTCAGATTAATATGTAGCATAATTGAAATTTGTTTTTTGAATTATTTCATGTAAATTAATATGTAGAATACTTGAACATTGGCTATTTTGTTTATTCCATGTAAATAAATAAGTAGAAATAATTGAAAGGTGTTTTTTGTTTACATGTAAATAAATAAGTGGAATAATTGAAAATTGTTTTTTTTTCCTTTATTTCATGTAAATTAATATATAGAATAATTCAAAATTGTCTTTTTCATTGATTTCATGTAAAATAATATGTAAAAGTATTAAAAATTGTTCTTCTGGCTTATTTCATGTATATGAATAAGTAGGATTATTGAAAAGTGAGTTTTTCATTTATTTCATGTAAATATGATACAATAATTGAAGTGTCTTAACTTATTTCATGTAAATTAATTTGCAGAATAATTGTAGAATAATTGAAAAGTGACTTTTTGTATTATTTCATCTATATTAAATTGTAGATTAATTGAATATTGTTTTTTTCTATATTTCATGCAAATTAATATTTCATGTAAAGAAATAAGAATAACAGATATGTGACTTTTTGGCTTATTTCATGTAAATAAATTAGTAGAATAATCTTTTTGGTTTATTTTATGTGAATAAATAACTAGATAACTGACATGTCTTTTTGGCTTAATCATGCAAATTAATGTGTAGAATAAGTGAAAATTGCCTTTTCATTTATTTCAGGTATATTAATCTGTAGAATAATTGAAAAGTAACTTTTTCGCTTATTTCATAAGTAGAATAATTGAAAACTGTTTTCAGGTGATTTCATGTAACTAAATGAGTGGAAAAATGAAAAGTCCTTTTTTGACTTATATTATGTTAATATGTAGAATAATTGAAAATAGTCTTTTACATTTATTTCATGTAAACTAATCTATAGAATAAATGAAAATTATCTCTTTCACCTATTTCTTGAAAATAATTCTGTAGAATGATTGAGAAGTGCCTTTTTGTCTTATTTCGTGTAAATTAATATATAGAATAACTGAAAATTCTCTTTTTGGCTTGTTTCATGTAAATAAATCTGTACAGTACTTGAAAATTATCTTCATGTTATATATCATGTAAATAAATAAGAATTACAAATGTCTTTTTGGCTTACTTCATATAAATTAATATGTAGAATAACTGGAAAATATCTTTTTACCTAATTTCCTGTAAATTAATATGGGGAATAATGAAAATTGTATTTTTGGTTTATTTCATGTAAAGTAATATGTTCAATAACTGAAAATTGTCTTTTGGGCTTCTTTCCTGCAAATAAATAAGTAGAATAATTGAAAAGTGTCTTTTTCGCTTATTTCATGTAAATATAATCCCAAAAATCCTTTTGACATGTGTACCAATATTCAGATGTCACTTTGATGCTGTAATTGGAATTTTTATATTTTTATTCCTGCTTTTCTCAGAAAATAATCAACAGAGTGTCATCCAATTTGAGTCATATGTTTCGCCTCCCATTTGCTGCCGGTCGGGTATTTAGTGCTAGCATGCTTGATACACTACTGTACCAGGTTAGTAAAAAATGTTGTTCATGATTTATTGATGTTATTGTAAATGGGAATATTTTAATCATTAAATATGTATAGTATCTGATGATAAAGGTTCAAATTCTCTTATTTTTATGATGATAATGTTGTAATCCCATAGTTTTTAAAAATAATGCCATGAAATTAACATTTCTCTTTTTGAAAATTGATTTATTTGCTTTAATTGAATGTAATTTTTATTTAGAACTAGCAGTAGAGCCCGGCGTTGCCCGGGGATGTAACAGTAAGAGATAGATCAAGTATTGACCATCATAAAGACTGAAAAATAAAATTGACAAAGATTATTGTTTAAGGTTGACGGACACGCATGTCTTAATTTTTTTTTTTTTTTTTTTACGAATTGGTCAAACCCAAATTCAAACAAAAACATTGTTTACAATCGTTATGAGTCTATCGATTGGTGAATAGAATTTTATTATAAACAATTGTCTTGTAAATGGAATTTTTAAAGCATTCTCAATGTAAAAATAAAAAAAAAAAATGTGCAAGACAATAAGAAACACTACCTGCCAAAAAAAAAAACTGAAGTTTTGTTGAAATCGGTTGAAAAATGTAGGTAGCCTTTCTCTGTAATCTTTTTACAATTTATGATTTTTACTTATTGAATACAGTAAAAAAAATTGCATATTTTGCTTGTGGTAATTCATAATTTGAATTCTGATTTGAATATATTTTCCACTCGTTTCTAATACAAAAAATATTAACTTTATTTGGGTTTATTAATTTATTACAAGTACTGTGTTCTTTCCTTAATAATTATCATCTTGAAATATTGTTGTTTTTTGTCTATCAGATTTCTTACGTCGGCATTTTTAAATTATTTCTTAATACTTTCTTTTAAATATTGAATTCATTTCAAATAGAACCAATGCCTTATTGATCTGCCTTGTAACAAATTGCAAAAGGAATTGTAAAAACGGCCCTAAAGTACGTGGAATTATCTTTCCCTAAAGATAAAGAATTATCCGATTTTTCGATTCGTACAATCAGTAGAGATCATTAGATTATTGTTTAGGTTGATGGACACGCATGTCTTAGTTTTTTTTTTTTTTTACAAATTGGTCAAATTCAAACAAAAACATTGTTTTCAATATCGTTATGATGAGTCCCCCGATTGAATAGAATTAGAATTTTATTATAAACAATTGTCTTGTAAATGGAATTTTTAAAGCATTCTGAATGTATAAATAAAGAAAAAAGTATGCAAGACAATAAGAAATACTACCTGCCAAAAAAAAAAGTGGATGTTTGTTTTATCGGTTGAAAAATGTAAGAAATCCAATCCCATATATAAAGGAACACACACACACACACACAAACAACCTAGGTTTTTTAACCTAAGTCACTCCACGGAATCGCTAAAACATAGAGCATAGTCTGATGAAAAAGACGCCAAAGTTTATGAAAACAAAATTTTATCGTCAAAATGCTTATGTTTTTATGAAGAGGACAGACTAAATTTTTTTTTTAATTGTTTTTTAAAATTTTTCCATCTTTTTAGAATATTATAAATTTTGATTTAAAAAACCTTGTTTCTCTTTGTTGCAACAAGGGGTAGTAAATAACATAGATAATTTTTAGCGCGTTTTTTTGTATTTACACACATTAATTTGGAAAATCTTGCAAAAATAAAAATAATTGTCAGATGTTAATGAAACTTTCAGAAACTATTCACAGATGATCGAAATTATTATAAATATTTTTTTTTTATTAAAGCCATGGCAGAAATATTTTTTTATATTTATTAACACCCGCATAACTAATTTTTAGTGATTACAATAGTTAAAAGCACAAGGCTTTGAAGAATGCAAATCATGTTTTTTTTTTTTTTTTTTTTTTTGGCCAACGTACCTGAAAATCAGCTGTGAATTGTAACATACAAAACTCAATAAAGCAAATATATTATTTAGTTTCAAATGCTTTTATTTGTTTTAATTTGTTTTTATGAATATGGACAATATTTTCTGAAAGCAAAAATTTTTTTCAATGAAAATTGAATTTTTAATACAATTATTTCTTATTTCTTTAATTTTAAAAGATTTTTTAAAATTTTTAAATTGAATTTTTAAAAATATTTTAACATTAGTTAAAAGCAACATCAACCTTTCAAAATGTCCATGTGAGATTGCCATTGTCTAGCGCTTTGAAAATTGTATAATTTGGACCAATCAGATTAGCCATGGTAATTAAGAAATGTAATTTTTGTGTTTATAGTCGGACAGTAATTATCAAGTACGGAAGACCAACCAGAATACAATTTAGTTGCATAATTTGAGTTCAGCATTGTTCTCCGCTGTTAAGCCCTTTACTTTTGCGAAACACGTATGGAGAAGTTAATTTGAGTTTTCAATTTCAACTGAGAAGGGTACCTACAAGTAACAGTATCATCTTATGAAATTTAACTACTGCTAAACTTTAATTTATATGATCTTATTTTTATATTAATCTCAGTTATGACATTTTTCCATAAATATCAAAATTAATAAAAAAATGAATGGAAATACAAATAACACAGTAAAATGTAATAAATGTACATAAAATTATAGTATTTTATGTACACTTCTGATAAAATTTCATAAGAAAGGTACCTAAATTAATTAGATACCTTTTTCTTATGAAATTTAATCTCACTATTAACAGTCTTATTTTTTAATTTCTTTATATTTTCCATAAAGCATCGTAAACGTAAAAATGAAAGCTAAGTACAAAAAAAAAAAAAAAATTAGAGCGCTGAAAGTTTTCCTTAAAAGTAACGAGGTAAATAATTTGTTCACTTAAATAATTTCACTTCCTTCCATCCATAGAAAGAATTATCCTCCCGTAAGTTATCTAAACGTCATGAATGTGCCTTTCGTCAATCGTCAAGCGACGCAAAAGGTTATGACCTGCTTTGTTTTATTTTCAAATTACATTTTTTCGGTGCAGAAGCTAAGTTGAGCTTGGTTCAAAATATTTTAAATAAACAGTATAATTTCTGTTTTTATTAAAATCAGTTTTGAAAAAATGATAATTGATTTTTAAAAGAATATCAAAGTCAGATTTTAACCTTTTTTATCAAATTGAAAAAATGATTGAAAATGATTGATTATCTGTCCTTTTTTTTGACCAAAAAAAAACCAATATTTTTAACGAAAATTTCAGACATGCTAGGAATGATTAAAAAATGTAAAAAAATACCCCCAAAATACTTTGATCTTTCCTCTTTAATAATAATATGAACATTAGACGATAAAATTTTGTTTTCGTCAAGTTCGGCTTTTTTTTCATCAAGCTATGCTCTTTTGTTTACATTTTCGTGGGTGAGTTGTCCCCTTTCATTCTCAATGATGTGTCTTAATCGTGTTTTCAAATTGATTTTGTTAAAAAACAATTTTGTTTTTCCCATTTTCGGCGCCATTAGAACCATCACAAGGTAATTTTATGTAGTCCTGTGAAGTTTTGTTGAAATCAGCTAAAAAATGTAGGAAATTCGATCCAATATATAAACGTTACAGACACACACACACACACACACACACACACAATCTGCGTTTTATAATAAGTAAGATATTCAGTAGTCCTTCAGCTCATTTAAGCAGAATCCCCAATTTCTTCTTCAACATAGCCATCATTGGTGCATTCAAAAAAGGTAAAGAGTTCCAACTGTCTATCAAGGCAAAGAATTTGGATTTTGTAACCATTTTTTAATTCTGTTTCATTTTCCTGTTTGAGAATGTAAAGAAATTGCTCCCTTCTATTGTATGATAGTCATTCCTTATTTTGCATACTGGCACCCAGATAACAACCCTTATTCAAGTACAGGCAGAATAAATGTAGTGTAAATGGTTTTTACCTTGTTTGGAATAAGATTCATAAAGCAATATTTAATAATACACATTCTTTACCTACTTTTTTAGTTAGCCTTCTTTATGATTTCTGAAAATATGTAATCTTGGAAATAAATCACATGAAACTATAGTATTTCAAGTTCAAATTGAGAATAATCAAGCTCAAGTTGGATTAATCAAATTCAGGTTGAAATAATCAATTTCAAATTGAGACTAAACAATTTCAAGTTCGTACCACCCAGGTGTAAATGTAAATGTCCAAGAACAGCAATTCACGACACACGTCATCAGTTAAATATATGCATATTGATTAAATTAATCATGATCACGTCTTTCTTTAACAAATATTTTATTCTTCATCCCTTCGCACCTGAAACTTTGTCATTTGAGTGTTACATTTGATTTTGCTTCAGTCCAGCCAAAGTTTTCAGGCTTACAAATTAAGTGTATTACTTTTATTTTGTTGAATTTTTGAATTTCAGTTTTTCTTGTTTGTGTCTATTTGTTTGTTTCCTTGTTCTTTTGTAACCCCACCCTCCCATTTTGATTTTAGTTTTATTTTATTTTTCAAATTATTTTAATTGTTGTTTATTTTGTGCCTATTGACTTTAATTATCCATGTTCTCATTTGATTTATTTGTTTTTTGATTTTATTTCATCTTTCATTGACTTTTTCTTTCGTTTTTGAGAGCAAACTGTTTTTTATAAAGTGAACATTTGTTTAGCTGTGGTGGTTTTGTGCAACTATGGCAGAAAATTTAAATGCACCAGTGGTGCTAATACAAAACTTATCACCGCAAAAATAAAACTGCCTGTTCAGAGAACAGGCCAAAAAAGGACTCTGCATTTTATGAAGAACGAAGAGTCAAATATGAACAGGATATACAAGGAAATGAGTTTCTTACCATTCTAGGAGCCTTAGATGCAGTTAATGCAAGGATAATTTCCCTGCTAACCACTGCCGTAAAAAGTCGGAAACTGATTAGGGTCAGCAGGGAAACCATTGAAGAGGCTTTAAAAAGGCTCAGTATCACACCTAAGGTTTTAGCTAGGAGACCCCGTGCAATGTGGAATATTCTCCTAGCTATGGAACAAAAGGCAAAACAGCTTGCCAGAAATATCTTAACAACAGCATTAAGACTCCAGACATGGACACCTGATGGACGAAAATTACTGTGCATAGGGTGCCAGTAGATATATATGAAGACCATATGGGGGCCTTCTTTTTGAAGTATGGTCCAGTAGAAGAAGTGTCCTCCATCATAAGTAAATCCAGAATTGCCACAGGAGATATGCTGTATGCAACTCTGACCCAGCATGCTTTTGGAGAAATCCCAAATGTATTGGTGTGCTGTGAGAGATGAATGTTGGTGGTGGTGGAGTATATGGCCAAAGCATGCACCACCAAGAATCCACAGCCTCTACCCAGCCTAGCTACGATGGCAACAACATCAATGGCAATAAAAGCAATACTAACATTAGCGGCAACAGAGAAGCCCCCTCCCCTCGCCCGCCAGTGAATAGGAAAAAGTGAAGGGATGGAAAACTACAAACATGCCCTCATCCCAAAAACAGAAGGTCCTGTCTCCTAAAAAGCAGTGACAACTGCAGGAATGGCCAAAGAAGGTGCAGGAGCAGACAAAAGAGGTGCAGCAAGAAAAGCTACCACAAAAGCAGGTGAAGGAGAAAAACAGCTACAAAAACAGCAGCAATAGTAACAACAACAGGGATGGCTGAAACGTTGTAATAATAAATATGGCGACAAAGATGAGGACAATAGTCTGAATAATGTAAATAATGTACATAATACTTCATCTCAGAAATATAGACAAATGTAATCACTTGTAAACAGACTGTTGTCTGAAATATATCTAGATAAGAAGCCCTTGCCCAAAATACAAAATATGCAAAATCAAGATGAAATATTATGTGAAAAATTTTAGGTCTTACCTCTACTGCAAGTGAAAATTTTCATGTTTAACTTTAACTGTATCAAGAGCTGATAAATTTGAGTTAAGACTGAATTTTTGACATTGACAACATTTGAATCTATTCAATATTTCTAAAAACATTGTTTAAAATTTGATAAAACTGATAAATTGCTTTTTTTACTTTCTTCATTATAGACATTTGAAAAAGGTTATTTGATTGCATTTATTCGCCTTTTATTGGGAATTGACTCTTCTGAAAATTGTGGTCACCTCTCAAGTGTGAGTAGTTTTTGTTAACTTCATAAAATCACTAGGCTATGAAATTTAATGTTGAATTTCTCTTGTCAAGTTATTTTATCTATAAAATACATCAGCTACAATATAATGAGATTTATTATGCTTTAATGCAATCTTTCAAGCTTTGTCCTATGAGGATGAAATCAGTATTTTCCTAAATAAATCATTCATCATTTTTTTAAAAAAAGAAAAAAATTGAATGGACTGAGTTGAATTAAGACATGTGCACTCTTAACAGCAATCTCAACAGTAAAGCAATGTATTACTAATGTTATTCATAATTTTTTTTTTCTATTTTTGGTTTTTAGATCAGTTCTCAAATTGCAGATCACTTTTTTCTTCATAGGTACTACAACAGGTATGGTTGATTATCTGCAAGAAAAATATACACTTATAACCCCTTAGGCCCATCACCACTCGACTCTCGCGGGTCTGGCCATCAGCCTGACAGATTCCCAATTAGGACCAAGTGACAACAATCCACTCTCCACCCACGTGTGAATTTTCTGACCTGAAGAGTGATTCCATTGATCCTGAACTGACAGGGTCTGTTTTGGTAGAACACACTAAATGGTGTCCCCTTGCTGCTCGAATTTCCACCTGCTAGTTTACTTCACCTGGGGAACAGCTCTTTTCATTTCTTCAACCTCCACCAAATTAGCAACAACACCATTATAGTTAATGGAACTCCCAAGGCTATTGACCAAGTTATCATGTCACCTAACTTCCCTTCCCAGCTAGTTCCTGCCTCCCCTGCTAGACTTAATTTAGTTTTAGTTGTTCAAAACCGATTTTATCAATCGACTTTAATAGCTTAGGCAATTTTCTCAAGGTGAGCTCAGGGGATTCTTTTACTATGGGTTCCTATAATCCTGCCCACATAGTCCTGTTTGTACCTGCCAATGCCAAGAATGAGTCTTTCTCTTTGAATTTCTCTTTACTTTGATAATAAGGAGGAAAAGAAATAGAAGGTCCATAGGCTCCACATCCCATGGGTAATTCCATAATAAATAAGGGAGGGGTCACCTTCACACTTATTGTTGGCTTTCCCTCACACACCCTAAACAATTCTAGTTCTTCCTGGGTGGCTACTGCCCAAACTTCATTGGATATACAGGTTGCTGAAGGCAACACAGCACTAGCTAGTACTTCCACTTGACAATTAGCCTCAAATCCTCATTTATTTTTCTTAAATAGCTCAAGCACACATAAGGTGTGGCTACCCATTACATAAATCAGACTTGCGGATACACAGGTGCTTAGTGCATCAGTTTTGCATTTGATTGCCTCCTTGTTTGTAAATAATATAAATTTTAGAAATTTAGACAGAAACATAAATTTTGTTCTGGCCAAATTTAAGGCCACAAACTCAACTTTGATTTTATACCTTGCGACTGCTTCTAACTTCTGATCTTCCTTGGGGTATGGGATGGGGAGATTGATCACCTGATAGATTTCAAAGGTGCCATCTCTATCCAACAGTGGGACTGACATCAGTGCTATCAATTTATTATTTTCTAACAAGTTGACACACACACTAAGGCTTTATATTTCCATAATTGTTCAGTAGGGTCTACAGGCAACCTAAGGTGATGAGGCAGTTTGGCCTGTATTTCCAATAATACTTCTCTCAATCGACCCAGGGTTATTATACTTGGGGACAAGTGTCCCATTGATAACATGTCTAATTGTGTCCTCCGCAGAATAGTCAACAACTGATTGGTCTGGTGCACCCTGCTTGTTATTGCTAACAGCTGGAAATATTGCTGCAAGAATCCCTCCAAGCTCTGTAATTCGGTAGCCATAGTGCTTGTTACATTAGCTACTTCTTCCCTAATGGCTTGCTAACCAATTTATAATACCTCTATTCTCCGCTAATTTCAATCTAGTAATGCTGAGGATGGACACACTTTCCTGAGTTACCTGAATTAACACTTGCTCGTCCCTCTCTACATTCCTCAATTTCCTCCTGCCAAAATCAGCATCAATACCACCAGTGGTCTCCCCCCATCCCTTTCAGTTTTTCTATCTGATGGTTATCGATTAAGGTGATACTGAGAAGTTAGACCAATCCACAACTATCAATGCTGCATATTCATGGGGGCCCTTCCATGCACATGTCAGCACTACAGCCATGGCACAGACCACCTTCAAGTTATCACCTGCTCAGTTTATTTATCTTACTCAATTCACCTATTCTTATGGTTTGGCCCACACTGTCCACTTCAGTCATAACTTTACAGGTAATTCGTCTACCACACGAGGTGTTTTCACAGCCTTCCACCATGCCCGAAGTTGAGCTAGAGGAATTTCATCCTCTTCCTCCCACTCACTCACTTCCTCTCCACTCCCTATAGGGGCAGATTTTGGTTCAATAATTCCCTCAGAGGACTTAGCCTTGGATCTAATCACTTCTCCTAATCCCCCGTAACTCAAAGGTCCCTCCCCATTCTAAATCCTAACCTGATTTACATTTTCAGGCCCACTGTTGGAGACCAGCTGTTCAGGGACTCCATATCATGGGAATATCTCCCGGAGTATTATATCCAACATGATCTGGGCCCTCTTATCTGGTATGGCATAGGCCTCTGGCCAATTCATTAACCAATCTATACTATGTATAAATTCCCTTGTGATGTCTCTCCATAGGGTCCTGAAATATCCATACACACCTTCTGAAAGGGATAATCTGGAATATCTGTCTCCATTACAGGGGCAGCCCTATTTCCTCTACTCTGAGATTGGCATGTTATGCATTTTCCCCACATGGCTCATTACAGCCTTATATAGTCTAAACCAATAATAATTTCTAATTATCAGTTCATATGTCTTATCGATTCCTATACGACCTGTCTTCTCATGACACTGCTCTAGGATTTGGGCTCTTAGGAACAACCAGCTTAAGGGTTACTTCCTTGCCTCTCACTGAAAGGTAATGCAACAATATATGGTGTATTATGTACTTCACCATATTTCCTGCCTCTACCTTGGCCCTAAGGGCAGCTATTTCACTATTTTCCTGACTCTTTTCCACAACATCTTCCCAGTGAGGGTCAGCAACTAGTTTGTTTGAACCTTCCTCTTCATCCTCTCAGACAGGGCGTCCCTCCAGGGTGTGCAAGTTTATCACGTTAACTTGGTATGCCTTATCATCAACACCTGGCTCTAACTTAATGGACTCGGATTCTAACTGCTAACTGCTCTGAGATTCTTGATAGTAGGTCTGCGCAGGTATTATCCTTCTCCACTAGATACTCTATCTTACTGCTATTGTAACTGCTAAGCTTCAATGTCCACTGTTTTATTTTCTTATTAGTCTACTCAGCCTTGAATAAATGCTTAAGGGGCTTATGGTCTGTCTTAATAGTAAACACGGCCTCACTCAAATAATAATCTAATTTCTGCACTGCATATAGAATGGCAAAGGCTTCATTCTCTATCACTGGCCATCTCTACTGGGTTTCAGACAAAATATGGGAGAAGAAGTATACTTGGTACTTCTTCAGGTATATCCAACACTAGTCAATCTTTATCAGGATAAGGCTGGGTAAGGACTGCACCAATATACTTGTCACTGGCAACTGTATACAAGATCATGGGTTTACTCAAGTTCAGGCATGTAAACAAGGGCACTGCAGTCAGCTGGTCCTTGGGAGCATCAAAGGCCCTCTGACAATCCTTCATCTACTTGAACCTAGCATGTTTCTTTGTTAGTGTTATTAAGGGACCTGCCAACCTGCTAAAGGCATGTATAAAGCACCAGTAATATCTGATGGCTCTGATAAAGCCCTGGATTTCTCTGTCTTGGGCTCAGGCATGGCCCTTATAACCTCTACCTTATCTAAGTCAGGTTTTATACCTTCTTTATCTATAATGAACCCTAGATATTTGGTCTCATCCTTCATGAACTGACACTTGCGTAATTTTAATTTCAGCCCATGTTCCCTTAGCCTGTTGAACACTCTCTGCAAGTGTATAAAATGTTCTTCAGGTGTTTTAGAGAACACCATTATATCATCCAGGTAAGCCATTGCAAAATCTTCCATACCACTTAACATTATAGACATCAGCATTCGACAACCAAAACAGCATAACCTGGAAATTTACAAGTCCAACATGACAGGCAAAAGCTGTCTTTTCCTGGTCCTTCTTATCAAGAGCCACCTGCCAACCTAAAATCCAAGGTAGAGAAGCAGGTAGCCTTTCCCAACAGGGCCAGAATATTGTCGATCAAAGTGAGGGGTATTGCTAAAGGTTTAGTAACAGCATTTAATTGTTGAAAATCTATACAAAACCAATGAACACCATCCTTCTTTTCAACCACTACTATGGGAAAACTCCAAGGAGACCTGGAGCATTCTATTATCCCAGAATCCAACATCTCGTTTACCGCTTCCTCTGATTTCTCTATATGGTCTCAGCCTGATAGGTGGTGGTCACTGGTGTCTATTTTCACCTTTACAGTCCTTGTCTATCCTAATTCTTTGTTGGTATTAATGACTACATCTTGATTAGCTCTGAGTAATGTGCTCATCCTATTTCTAATTGGTTAGGCACTACTATATCCTCATCATTTATTCTGCTTTCATCACTTTTACTCCCTCTTTTACTGACATCCATTACTCTTATCTGTTCTATAATTCTCACAGGGCATGCATAGCCCAACTCCTCCCATTGCCTTATTTTTATAGTTCTGCTGGCGGTGTTAGCTAACAGTAGGGGCACCGTCCTTAACGGTACTACTACTGAATCGCATAAAGTAATCTCTTCTGCACTATCTTCCATCACTCCCCCAGGGGTTATGTGATACAATCCCCTCTTCAAGTTTCCATCAGCCTCTGTCCTACCCTGACAGGACATAGCAGTCCTAGGAGGTAGCACTACATCACTCTTAGCTACGGACTGCCTCCCCTCAGCCCCATCTCCTAGTAGCACTCCTACCCCATCTATTATCAATGTTTCTATCTTCATTTTGCTACTGTCAGCCTCTCTAATCAATAAATCTACCAGGCTCAACTTCCCCTTAACACCTTAGAGTTTATCAACAAGACACAGGGGCTAGTTTCTAAGAGAGCCCTCATTCATCTATTCTCCAACACTGCATTGAAATCAGGCCCTTCCTTCAACAACTGAAAGATCTGAGCTCTCGTTCCATCTCCTTCCTATTAATTCTCCTCCATGTTACTCTGGACCTAGGCGCTGGCAGCTGGGGTTCCTTACTCTTTATCCTGGTCATGGCACCTTTTGAGTCCCTCATGGTCGGAGTATAAGCTAGGCACCTATTTTCCCTCAATCCTCTTCTGGAACCATCCACTCCCTTTCCACAAGGGCAATTCTGCTGGATATGTCCCAAACCTCCACAACACCAATACCTCTGCTGCCACCAATTGGCAGAGAAATGGCCATTCATTCCACATGTCCAACACTTCAGAAGTCTTACTACTAATGGGGCCTCCCTGTCTCTTACTTCTGAGGCAGCCTGCTAGCTTTTCCCTGATCTTGTCTTCCAGGCTCAGTCTTCTTCAATAATATTGGCAGGGCAACTTTCTTGATCCTGTACCACTTAGCTGGGTGTCCCTTCTTTCCGCATCTAGTACACTTATCTTGTTCAAAGTCTAGAGGCAATCCCCACTTTGTCTATTGCTCTGTGGCCCTCATATCTGCAGGTCTAGCAGATTGGTCTATATTGTCCAGGCGTGGGCTTAAAGAACCCATGCCTCATTGACCAAGCAGTATGGGCCCACTGCTTTGGGTGCCCATATCAGAGAAGGCCAGAGCCACTAACCTTGCCACTCTGTCTCCCAATTCCTCTAATCCCTTTCTTTCCTCTTACTGCAACCTAAACAACTTTCAGACTGCTTCTATTGTTGTCCATTCACTGATGTACTGCCGGACAAGCACTCCCTTTAGCTCGTCCCAAGTTATCCCCAGATTTTCTCAGTATAACACCCCCCTATAAGCTTAGAGACTGGTCCTACAGCACCCTCAAAGGCTAGCAGCACTAATTGACTGTCTGACAACCCATATACGATCTGCTTCTTCTGTATGTTCATCAACCATTCCTGGAGCTCTGTCAGGTTCCCCTTATAGATGGGCAGTCCACCTATCAACCCTCGGAATCTCACAGAAATCTCGGGCATCCCTGGTTCCCCTTCTGTTACATCCGAGCCAGCATCACTCATTTTCTCTTCCTTTTTTTTTTTTGTATTACTCCAACTAACTCAACTCCTAACAATGGTGATGAGTTTCAACTACATGCAAAGCTGAACATCCAAAAGGCAAACGACTCTGTCACTGGCAGTTCTAAAATATAATTGAGTGAGCAAAAACAAGGGAAACCAAAAGTGACTTATCCACTGTCTGCTTTTGTCCATTCGTCTGCCATTAGGTCTTGTCCATTATGTGTTTTTCACACCTTTATCCTGAGATCTTATTCAGCAAGTTTTCCTCCTCTCTCTTTGCTGTCCTCAAAGAAATCAAGGCAATCCATGCCCAATCCCTCAGATTAGTCCTGGCTTCACAAACAACTGGTAATAGAGGTCACACCCGGCCTCACAGCAACAATGATATAAGGGTATATCCTGATTGTGGCAACCAAATAACATAACAAAATACAAAATTTTCAGTGATCTCTTCAAAACAAAGAAAAAATAGGAAGAATTTTTTTTCAACCTTTTCCATAAGCTAGTCCCTTTATCAATATTTCCAGTTTGTCCGTTAATGTCATCAAGTTACTGATAGCCCCAATTTTACTACCACTTGAACCCTAATCAACTCATTACGCTTCATTAATTAACATTTATTTTAATTTTGCTGACTCTCTGTCATATACTGAAATTAACATGATGAGGAAATAAGTCTATTGTATGAAAATAAAAAAAAAATTAAAAATTAGAAGATAGCCAATATTTGCCTCCATTCCCTTGCTTATTCTAAAACTGCAAACTTGTTTCTTTCTAGGATCACTTTAGCCAAAACACAACTTGTCTCAGTTAAAATAAAACAGCAAGTTGGTTGAAACATTTTATTTTCTGGGCTGGTTTAAAAGGCACTAAATGTAGCAATATTTGCTTGATGTTTTGTCATCTTGCTCATTGTGTTGTTGGTTTGTCAATAACTAGTTACAAGGTTTCACTCTCTCAATATTTTTCTATGTTCACATTAATAAAGTTAATATAAACATGCTATGATCAAATGAAGGGATTTAAAAGGTCTTGGTTGAAATCCAATCTAATTAGTTTGGTCTGTTCACAATCCAAAGCTGCTCATTAGCATCTTCAAAAACTGAAATGGCACTTATTTACAAAGTGTAGGAAGAGTTTTTTTGCAACATGATTACAAAATCATATACAACATGAAAAAATTCAAGATTGTATAATGTCTGGAGTAAGGCAAGATGCTACCATCCCAAATGACTACTTTGATGTTCAATATTAGCAAGACCTGCTACAATTTGCCCAGCAACCAGGTTCCCAGAATAGTTTACTTGCTGGCAACAAATGCTTTAATTTGGGCAGGTAACCACAAATACACAAACTCTTGCTCGGACTAAGAAATCTGTAATCAACTCACCCTATTTTTGTTTCATTGTGGGGAAGTCTGTCTGTGCACATCTTTGTGTAGTTCCCTGTCACAAGCTGTATTTGACACAGATGTTGTTCTTCAGTGGTAGAATAGGGTATTTTGGCCTCCACTAGGTCGAATAGCAACCTATTCACCTCCTTAGCTCATTGCAAATCTCTGCTTTGTTGGTCAGTCTGCACATTTCCTTGTCCCGGATCCATGAGTCAATAAACATTGGCCAGTTTCTGTCTGTTTCGTCCGGCTCTATTGTTAGTTGTTCTGGTTTCCTCACGCTGGACATGCCAGACCTGTCGTAAAGTGTTATATTCTCTCTTTTCAACTTGACCATTTGTTGCTTAAGTTGCACATATTGTTGATCCATAACTGGTAGGGTGGCCATATTTCCTTGTATGGCTACACCAATGCCTTGTTTTGTTAATAATCCTTGTGAGGATTTCTTCACAAATATGTACTGTTGGTATTTAAAATATTGTTTGATAACCTATTGGTGACACCATGTATAATGTCTGGAGTGCCACAATTTCTGTAATGAACAGAAAAAAATATCTGCATAATGTCTGAAGTGAAACAAGATGCCCCTGTCCCGAATGACTGCTATTTATATTTGCCTACCAGTCCATGTAGCAAGGACAGTCTACTCATCTGGCTCTGTTGCTGGTGTACCCTCTAAACTCTAGAACATTTCTTCATGCAAGACAGCACCTCCTGTCCTACTCCACAAAGATAAATAAATGTTGAACTGGAAATGCACATCTGCAAGGGTAAGAATGACAAGCAATTGAATCTTAAGTTCGTACAGTTTCTCCCAGCAGAAACATGGGTGCTGACTTTCTTCTGGTGGTGGTTCTAAATCTGAAGTTTCCAATTTCTATCCAATTTTATTTCTTCAAATACAGCTCCTCCCCAAACCACAACTAAAAGACAGTGGTGAGGGAGTAAATTATTTCAGAATTGAACTATTTAATTTTCCACCAGAAATCTCGTTAATAACTCTGATCATTTTAAATTTTAAGTTTTGTAAATTTTGTTATTGGAACTTTTCATTAAAGATTATATTTTATATCACAATTTATTTTTCTTTTTGTGCAACATTGAAATTAGAAAATATGACAGTGATTTACAAAGAACTTCTCAATTTTCAACACAGAAACATACATTTCAAGTTGATGATAGCCAAGAAGCTAAATTAAAAATGAATTTTGAAATTAAAATCAGTCTTTGAATATTATTACAAGTTTTGGTCACTATCACTATAAAAAGATAATGTTGAACAATTAGAAGTGTTAAAAGCATTTCTTCAAAACCTGAAATATAGAAGTTGTGTATTGGAATTATAGACACCCATTACTCAAATGACATTTTCTGTAAGAATGAACCAGTAGTAAGCAAAGACTATTATGTCAAAATTTAATTTTAATAATTCTTTTTTCCAATTTACATTCCAGATGCGAGTTCGCAAAAGTACTTTAGAAAAAGTTACTACATATGGAGAACTCTACAACCACCTTTGTGAAACAGTTAGTGAAGTACCAATTGCAATATATCGGTCTGAACAAACCATAATCTCAGGATTTGATCCTTCTGACATAAAAGAAGTAAGCACACATAAGAACTTCTATATAAAGGTACTTGATGAAACTCTAGAGGTGATTTTTGCTGTTTCCACACTTATTTACACAAAAGTTAAATATTAAGAACTAGTATAAGTATTGGTATTGTAAACTTCAGTTATAATCTAACACTTTAAAGTATTTATAAAAAAGGCAAACTTCTCTAAATATCATATGTTTGCATTATAGAAAAAGAAATTGCATAATTATGTTCATATTATAAAATAGATTGAAAATTACTTACATTTAAAAATAAACTTCAATTTAATAAAACTCTAATTTGTTTTACATTGTGGATAATAGGAATACTATATCAGATTAGCACTAATTGGATACCAAATGTGTTAACATATTTGAAGTAGTAATAATTTCTACTTTTTCTTGCTCTTTTTGACTCACTTATATTCTATCTTCATGAACAACAGTTATTTTATCCTTTAAAGCTGAAAACTATAACCTCATACTCTAAAAAGTTCTAGAATAATCCCTTACAGTGTCTTTTTAAACAAATCTGAAAATATAAGAATTGTTTAAAATAGTTAGTTCTTATTAATCTTTTACTTACAATAACTTGCTTTTATTTCACTTCCTACATCCAATAATCTGTAGTGCAATAAATATAATTGTACCATTGCAATATTTACTTTGAATGGATATATATATATATATATATATATATATATATATATATATATTATATATAGCATGGTGGAGTAGTGGATAGCGGCTTGGATGGAGGTATCAGAGAGCAGAGTTTGAATTCCAGTTGAATCCATTACATTCACTTATGTGCTAATACCCTTGGGAAATGTATGAATCATCTTCCTCCTCCAGCTAAGGGTAAATAGCAGGATAGACTGGATTCTATAGCCTTGGATGGCAACTGGTCTAGGAGAAGGATAACTCTGAATTCAAAACCTGTGGAGGGTCGTTTGGGGACCTTGTGGCACATAATGCACCAGGTCCCTGTATTCGGCCCTTCAAAAAGTGTGGTTGGTTCTGCATATATATATATATATATATATATATATATATATATATATATATACACACTTAACTTTAGACAATTTTGTCATTTCCAAACAAGTGTCTTTTATATACTGACATCTTATACTTGCTGATGTAATGTCAGCTATTAATTCATGTAATAAAGTAATTATCAGCTTCTTTATTGTTTCATATTGTTTTTACTTAATATCATATAAATGTTTATGTATCTTTTTTTTTCCAATCTATAATGTTGAATTTATTTTCTGTACTGATCTCAAAAGCTGTAAGGGAGTAAGTTTAAATAGTCAGTTGTACATTTTTAATATTCAGAATGGTTATAAATTGACAAAAAAATCTTTGTCACAGCACTAACAAAATAATTTATTATTATAAAATAAACATTGAATGAAAAAGACAAAATGTCCAATTAATAAGTGTCCTGCTTATTTTCTGCATACACTATAATTTGTATGATAGTTTCTACCAACACTTAAGTAGCTTCATAGTAATAAATGTAGAATCATTTTGTTACAGTCATAAGTAAAGATGTGTGAGATTAATGTATATTTTATAACTGTTTTATTGTAATAAAAATATAAAATCAACTTTTACTAAAATTATTCATGTTGGTTGTAGTTTTGCTTCAGTGGCTTTCATTTTGAAAGGCAACTTGTATTCTGAACATTTCTTATGTTTTAGAAATTGAATCTTTTTGCATAAAAATATTTGTTCAGCATTTCTTCATTGTGATGAAAAGAAAAAAGAAATCACAAGTCAAAATAGTAGTTTCTTGTTAATGGCTTTTATTTCATCTTGTTATTAGAATCAATATGCAAATTACTGATGAAGTTTTCATTTATGAAGTCATTTAGTTATATGTCAAAAAGAAGATGAGTGAGTTAATCTGCAGTTCTTGTTTTCTTAAACAAGTAACTCACCAATATTGGTGCACTAGTAATTCAGAAATGTTGCCTTAGAGATACTTTGAAAGACAAAATATTTTTGTTGAGAAAATATATTTATAGAAAATGATTGGCTTTAAAAGACATTTAAATCAACTATTTGCTGATTGGCTAATTGCATTATAATCTTTTCACAGGTCAAAAAATATGGTCACTAAAATATAAAACTTTCCTACACTAAGTGAATGTTATTAAATATATGTCTATATAATAGCTGATGTTTCATATATATTCATTAACATAATCTATGAGCTTGAGAGTCATCAGGATATATTTATATATTGTGCTCATCCACCAAACATTTAGCTGATGTTTCATATATATTCATTAACATAATCTATGAGCTTGAGAGTCATCAGGATATATTTATATATTGTGCTCATCCACCAAACATTTATGATCTTTTCATGGAAACAGTAATACAAGTCTGATCACTGCATTGTATTCTCTTAGTAACTTCCTTGGGCACTTATATATATATATATATATATATATATATACACACACATACATACATACATTAAACCTAAAACTACTTAGGAAAAATACAATTATATACATATATTTACTATAATCTCAAAATAAAATATGGCCAAAAGTTAATCTGTGAATTTTTGTTACATTTATGATTGAGGCTGGCTTATCTAAGATTTTTTATCAAATATCAAATTAGATTCAGCTTTACACTTCTTCACTATTGCCTGCACAAACCTACTTGATCCAGGTTATTTTTCTCTATATATTAAGAGATATTCTGAAGACCAATATGAACCAGGAGTGATTTTATTCTGAAAAACAGACAAGAAGAGTGGTAAGGAAATGGTAAAGTATTTGGTTAACATAAATTTGGTCACTAACCAACATATTATATCTGAATACTAAATACAAATATTAAACAGTTTTAATGTTATCAATAATTCCATTGGTAATAATAATAATATTAATAATAATAATGGTATTCAATGAAAATGAATTTATGTAGCTATATTTGTAAAGAGAGGTTGAAATAATAGATAAGGACTGTGGAGGATATGAGGGAAGCTGCATATATGAGTTTACAAAAACAATTCTTAAGGAATAAATACCAGTATGGAGGCAACCTTCCATAACTTAAAAATATTTGTAGTTTTTGTACATGATAGGAACATATAACCAGATTTTATCAAACTAACTAATTCATTACTACTGCCTGCAGGAATCTTTGAAACCTATATCTAGAACTACTTATAAAAGAAAAAAACTACCAAACTGAAAACATACAAAGAACACATTAGCCATAAAAATATAAGGATACTATTTCGAATACTGACAATGATTCATCTCAGAATGTCAGACAATATTTCTATACAATTTATCTTTGTCTATAAATATATTGATATATCAATATTTCTCGTCATACTATTTCAATTGACATGCACAATTGAAAGTGATGTAGAATATGAGCTTTTGTTAATATTTTTGCAACTTACCAATTATCCATTTGTAAAATGCATTACAGCTAAAGAGGATCACTTAAAAGTGAAATAGATTGTCAATAAAATTGTCATTAAAATGATCTACAAATATCATGGATTTTCAATAATGAAATACAGAATGTTATTTACAGACAGAGTATAATGAATAATGTCTTTCTTTTCTTTTATTAATTTCTATTTTTTATCAAGGGGACATTAGTTAAAAACCAAACAAGTTCAAACAGACCAAATGGTACAGGAACATTATTAACATCAAGGTTTAGACGAAGATCGTCTTGGGCAGTGCCAACTAATGATAAACTTGACATTACAAGCATAGTAACAGCAAGAATGTCAAGCCTAGAAATCAGTGCTGAAGATTATGGTAAGTCTATACATATTTGATATTTTTTTTAATTTAATTAAAATCCACATTCTAAAAAGAAAAATTAAATTGTAACATTAATTTAAATGCTGCTAATTTATCTAATAAAAACCACAAGTGTAATCAGATCTTTTTTCTAAAAAGGGTTGATGTGTAACATTTTCCTAATACTGAAAAATAACTAAATTGGTTAAACAGTATGGCTTTCATTTCTCTAGGTCTACCACCAATGTGTTAACAGTTATTACTTCACGATGTCATCAGTTCTTAACTAACTGATGACACAAATATTTACTCCTGTCTTCATAGCTAGTTCAATAAGTTAAAAAAAAATATAACTGGCAGCTACTCTTGAAAATGACCTCCAATCAGTGGTTAACTGGAAAAAGTAATGGTTTGTAAATTTTAACATGCTGCAATATCTGGTCTGGGGCTCCTCCTTTATATATTGAGATTCTTGACAAATCCAAAGAAAGTTATTTAATGTAATCAGTCCTGACCTGGCATCTCAGCTTCAGTCACTTCCCTTTGTCTTTTCTATAAATATTTTCATGATAGTTGTTCTAATTTGCTATCTTCAGTACCTTGACTGCACAAATTTAAGCACAAGTACTAGATTGGCAACTAGATCTCACCGTTGTACTGTTGAACTAGCTAGTAACCATTAGTTCTATTCTAATAGTTTCTTTTCTTACATTTCCCACCTGTGGAACTCCTTTCTGATTTTTTTGTTTCTTGCCACCTACAATCTTCAAAAGGTTAAATGCAATGCCAATCAACATCATCTGTCTTCCTGAATCCTGTTCCTTTATTGTTCTTTCTCCTCAAAGTTTTCTCATTCTCTTTCATTCCTAGTAACCCGTTACATCTTAGTGGCATTATAGCCTTGCCTGGGTGGAATGATTAAAAAAAAAATACAGCTGAGCAGAGTTTGTAACCTCCCCCAACTATCTCTGTGGATGTTTTAGTCCTTGCAATTGAGCAATCTTATCTCAGTGCCTGGGCACCCCATTTAGGCATGATATTTATGACTCAAGAAGTTTTGCTGCCTTGATTCCTAGGTAAACCTCATGGTTTCACTTCAGCTGGTATGCCTGCAATTTCTTCTCAATGCTTGATTGTTTGAGTGCTGGAAGTAAATGTTCCTCTAGGCTAGCATTATCTGCATGATAAACCTTAGAGAAACTCCTAAGGCAGCTATCCCATCAGCTGATGGATAATATCAAGGCTACTGTATTGCAATTTTGCGAATAGGAGCTGAATCATGTAATAATTTCCAGCAGAGCCTCTCAATACCATGATGAAGTGTATAGTTATGGCTCAGCTTTCTGGCAATTAATCCAGGTAGCTTTACATATACAACTTGGGGTTTTGCTTTCACTACCATGGTTCTTCACCAAAAACCTAAATGACCAGAGCCTATCAACTGATTTCCACTCTACAAAACAGATCAATAATGAGGAAAACTAGCTTTTAACATTCAATACCTCTAAAACCAAGCTTGTAACATCATCATCAAATAGACCCTCAATTTTCACCAAACATGATGAACAGTTGTAGTCACAATGAGCTGCCTTGCTTTGAATGTCTATAGGGACTTAAACTCACTCCAGACCTCAAGCAGAACACTTGCTAAAGAGGCTGAAAAAAATAGTTGGTTCCTTGTACCACCCCAGAAATAACTGGCTCTTCCTATCATGCTCTATCTTTACAAGAGTTAGATCAGACTAAAACGAGAGTATTGTTGCTATATCTGGGCTGGAGTTGCCCAATCTTCACTTTCAGAGCTTTGTAGATGATGAATTATTTTCCACCTTACAGCTAAACTCTTGCTATTCTATTTCCATGGCAAATGTTCAAATGAGCTACATACCTTAGTTCAACCAGTTCAGACATTTACAGCTAGAACTCGCCATGCCACATACACAGGATCAAATCATCCTCCTTCCATTGGTAAGAAATTATGTAGGTCCTCTCAGAGCATTTTTCTACAACAATCTCATTCAGTATCCCTCTCTATGAGTGACTCTTAGGCTTTGTATTGGGTGAAAAATAGTATTAAAAAATATTATTTATCTTTCATGTAAGTAAAATTTACTGTTGATTGATTCCAAATAAAACTATTAAATTACAATATATGATTATTGAGTCTCATTCTTCATTCTCTTAAGAAGAGAATAAAATTTTATGTTGAAGCACTGTTATTTTCATGTATGGACTCTAAAGACTAATACCATGCTATCAAGATATTGCTGACAATCAGAAAATTGTTGTTAACGGTAAAATATTCAAAGGATAGTTAAGAATGACAGCTGGCTTCATTATTTTTTTTACAAGAAAATTAAAAGAATTTACATACAAATATTCTTTTTTTTACTATATCAACAAAGACTGGCTTTTTTATTAACATTATCTCAATTAAACTCTTTAAACTATTCTTGTAACTATGAAGACCTACAATGTTCTTTGGTGCTCTTTACTACTTTCTCTATAAATAATTCTACTGACTATGCCCCACATAGCAAACTAAACATTTACTTAAAACCATAATGAGAAAGACGAGCAGTATAAAAATTTTATTTTGTTGTAAAAAAAAAATGTTAAATTTTGTCCATGTTTTATGGCCTTTTAGGCTCAAGCAGCAAAGTAGCAAGATCTTGTGAATCTGTTTTTGAATATTCAGAAGGGGATTTTACATATATAAGCCAATGGGAATCAAGTTTTTCTAGCACCTAAAAATTTTGGCTGGAGCCAAATTTTATGACCTCATTGAGAATAAAAATGACTGCGAGAGAGAGTTGAAAAGAAAACAACAGTGTCAACTTTGGCCAGGGCAGTTTTCACAAGACATCACATAAAAGGACAGTCCAGTGTGAGGTTATAAATCTGATGTGACAGATCCAAGGCAGATTTGTACAACAAATTTCACACCCCAGAACCTAAAGAATTCGCCTACATCAAATCCCCTTTGAGCTGAGAAGTCCTTTACAAAGCTGTTACAACAGAGGTTGATGTCTTTTAAAAGATTGTGCCCTGTGCCATATTGTGAATCCTCTTACTCCAAGTTTTTCCTTATTTTTGAAAGGATATATTTCAAATGGTCTTTTCAACATTTTTGGTGACTTGTATTTTTTCCTTTTTCTGAGTGTAATCTTTTTATTGCTTCAAATTGTTATCCTGCCCAAAGAGGCGCAGACAAAAGGAAGTTTTTGTGCAACCCTTGTTCTGTACTTTTCAAATTTGTAATCGTAAATAACTGTTGTTCCTTTTAAAATTTTACATAGCGGTAGTTTCGTTTTTAAGTTGCACCTATTTTAGAGAGTTTCTGTTTCTACCAACTAAGTTTTGTGTCAGGCACAAGAACTTAGAGTTGGTAGGAAAGCAAAATTTTTATATCTTGCACAAAAATGTTTTATGTTACTGTAGTGTAACAATTTTTATAGCAGAAACAAAATTCAAATCAATAGTAAACTTTGATATTTTGGCTGAATTCAACATATAATATCTGGAACAATTTCCAATGATCTTTAGTGGAAATAACATTTTATATCATTTAATATTGTTTTTAAATAAGCATAAAAATAAGTATTTTTATAATGTTTAAATATTAAAACCTTTATTACTTCACAAAGAATTTTATGCTCCAAAATCTTTTATCTGCAAACAAAATTAATGTCATTAATTAATACAAACCAAACTTTAGAATGAAATGAACAAAATAAAAGTTCAACATAAAAAGAAATATCAACTAACTGAAAACCAAATATTAAAATGAATTTTACACTAACTCATAGGTTGAAAACTGAAATACTTGTGCTTCATTTTAACTTTAGCACTTTTAACTCCCTATATTTACACAACTGCTGTTAAATAGCATCAATACATTCATGAAAGCTACAGATCAAATTTTTGCATAAAATATGTATAAAAAAAACAAGCACATCTCAAATTGCTGTTTTTGCTGACAATGAAATACATGAAAAATTTACACAAAACCATTGAATTTTTTAAAATTCTTTTGGCTAACATTTATCGCCTGTTCCTGCTATATATTTAGAGATCATTGATAAAATTCAAAGAATCTGAAATATTATTGATCCTGACATCTCAGCTTCAGTCACTCTCCCACCATCATAATATAGATTTTCTGTGCCTTTTCTATGAATACTTTCATATAGGGATGTCAACAAATTTAAAAAAAAAAAAAAAAAAAAAAAAAAAATGAAAAAATATCTTCAAACTTTTGTGATACTGTGTCATCGACCCATGGCGCAAAACTGTGATATTTCTTCTACCAGCGTTTTGGGGTTGACTCCTAGTTGCTGCCACCAACCTGTGTCCAAGTCGATTAGTGGTCATAGCTGCCCAGCAGGATCCTTTGGTCAGGATACTAAGTGGGATGGTCAGTCGATTTCAAACGGCTTCACACCAGATGCAACAAGTTCGACACCAGCTCTGTCATTCTCAGCTCACTTCCAATATCTGGTTACCAAAGTAATTACTCCAATCTCAAGTCTAACCTACTCACATTGTGATTTTGATCTTAGGTAGACAAGATCAATCAGGCATCGAGCCATAGTGTAAGATGAGTCTAAACTGGAGGTGATATCGCACAATCGTAAAGATAAGAAGCAAATAAAAACCCAAGAGGTTCAAGTATGTTGAAAGAAACAAATCAACTTTTATCCGTCTGTTATATACAGGAGTTTCTTCAGTGAGTTCTGGTCTTCTAAGTCAACTGGTTTAGTTTTTAAGTGCCAGCTTAGCTTCGTTCGTCAATATAACTTGCTATTGGTAGGAAAGGTGAAGTCGGAGGAAGTGGAATCTCTCGGTCAGCTTCTGCAAGGCAACACTCTGGTTCCTGCGACTCAAACTACTGGACTGAAACTTCTCAACTAACTGGCAAACTGCCCGAGGGTGCTCACTTATATGGATACTTTTGGGGGGATCCCTTCGGTTGTGAGGAGAGGTTGTAGAATAGCTAGACTCCCAAACTTTCT